CAAAGAATAACAAAAGAGAAAGTGATAGAATGATTAAAACAAAGAAGAACATAAGAGAATGTGAGTGAAGGGAAAAAACAAAGATTAACATAAGAATAGAAGGAAGAAACAAAGAATAACAAAAAAGAAAGTGATAGAATTATAAAAACAAAGAATAACATAAGAGAAGGTGATAGAAGGAAAAACAAAGAATAACATAAGAATAAAAGGAAGAAACAAAGAATAACATAAGGAAAGACAGAAAGAGAAAGTGATAGAATGATTAAAACAAAGAAGAACATAAGAAAAGCTGATAGAAGGAAAAGAACAAAGATTATAAGAATAGAAAGAAGAAACAGAGAATAACAGAAGAGAAAGTGATAGAATTATAAAAATAAAGAATAACATAAGGGAAGGTGATAGAAGGAAAAAAGCAAAGAATAACATAAGAATAGAAGGAAGAAACAAAGAATAACATAAGGAAAGACAGAAAGAGAAAAAGAGGAAGACAGGGTATAACAAAACGGAACAGGCCGATAAAGCGCATGGTATAGTAAACGCAAATTGCATGAAAAGCAGGCGCGCGGTTTCCCAGATAGCAAAATGTTGTGGGGCCCATCTGGGTTTTATCTGGTTAAAACTGGGCTGGCCCACTTGGCCCAGATGGGCCATCTCTTGCCCACTTGGCCCATTTGGCCCAGATGGGTCCCAGATAGGCCCCATGTGGGGCCCAGCAATCTGCACCCGGGTTATAGAAGGGCCCCAGATGGGCGGCCCAGATTGTACCCACTTGGCCCAGATGGGCCCACGTGAAACCCAGATGTACCCCACAATTGGCCCATCAATATACACAAGGGTTACCTATTGGGCACCAGATGGGCCATATGTGGGTTTTATGTGGGACCTACCACATTCTATATATGGGTCAAGTGGGTTCTATAAGGGCCCCATATGGGCTATAAGCGGGTTTTTATATGGGATCCATATGGGCTAAGTGGGTTTGATCTGGTCCCATATGGGCCAATGTGGTTTTAAATGGGCTTTATATTGTTTAAATGGGTTCCTATTTTTCCCAGTTGAATTCATTTATCCCATTTCAATTTCCAGGGTTACCAGTTGGGTTTAACTGGACCAGTCGTACCATTTGGCACAACTTTCAACCACTGATTGAAAGCTCCAATTAGCAGACATATTTAGTAGGTAATGTAGCACTTGTACTATTTAATTTCGTCAATGGCAACAACATATCGTCTAACATTTCCAATGTAAAGGCATTGGTATTAAGAACACTTGGTTAATTTGCTGTGATAAGACATTTCCATATACTTGTATTTTATTGAATCTGTTTTAGATTATAGTTAGTGTTTTTTCTAATTCATGTTTAATTAAATGTAAAATAAACAAAGTAGTGAAATTTCCTAATAATTGGCAATTTACATTTTGTAGTATTTTCGAAATAAATTGCAAATAACTAAATCATCAGTAATTAAGAAATATCCTGTAAATGTAGATAAATTGTTAAAAAAAACATAGATGTGCACGCACCCCATACTCATTATGCAAATGATGGGATATATCTGTGGGTTTTGGGTGGGAAGGCCCATCTGGTATACATCTGGTTTTCAGCTGGGCGAAGACAATGTTCGACGTGCGATTTTCACCACTAAAAACCCACATGGAGCCCATATGGGCCCTATATGTGTTGGTACTTGTGGGTTCTGGATGGGAAGGCCCATCTGGTATACATCTGCTTTTTATATGGGCCACGTGGGCTCCGTATACCTGTGGGTTCTTGGTGGGAAAGCCCATCTGATAAACATCTGGTTTTCAGCTGGGTGAAGACAATCTTCGACGTGCAATTATCACCACCAAAAACCCACATGGGGCCCATATGGGGCCTATATGTGTTGGTACTTGTGGGTTCTGGATGAGAAGGCCCATCTGGTGTACATGTACATCTGGTTTTTAAATGGGCCACGTGGGCTCCGTATACCTGTGGGTTCTTTGTGGGAAGGCCCATATGGGATACATCTGGTTTTCAGCTGGGTGAACTGAGACAATTTTCGACGTGCGATTATCACCACCAAAAACCCACATGGGGCCCATATGGGGCCTATATGTGTTGGTACTTGTGGGTTCTGGATGAGAAGGCCCATCTGGTGTACATGTACATCTGGTTTTTAAATGGGCCACGTGGGCTCCGTATACCTGTGGGTTCTTTGTGGGAAGGCCCATATGGAGCCCATATGTGTTGGTACTTGTGGGTTCTGGATGAGAAGGCCCATCTGGTATACATGTACATCTGGTTTTTAAATGGGCCACGTGGGCTCCGTATACCTGTGGGTTCTTTGTGGGAAGGCCCATATGGGATACATCTGGTTTTCAGCTGGGTGAAGACAATTTTCGACGTGCGATTATTACCACCAAAAACCCACATGGGGCCCATATGGGGCCCATATGTGTTGTACTTGTGGGTTCTTGGTGGGAAGGCCCATCTGGTATACATCTGGCATTTAGCTGGGCCCAGCCGATGTTCGATCGACGTGCGATTTTCACAAACAAAAACCCACATGGGGCCCACATGGGGCCCATATGTGTGGGTTCTGGGTGGGAAGGCCCATCTGGTATACATCTGGTTTTTGTATGGGCCACGTGGGTTTTAGTCAGCCCATACAAAACCCAGATGGGCCCCAGATATTTTGCTATCTGGGTTTTGTCCAAACCGGAACAGGCTCCGTCATACAATCATGATTGAAAACTCCGTCCGTTCAATCGAATTTTAGCGACCGTGATTCTGCAGAATCATGATACAAAACGCATCTTTTTCAGCGTTTCATGTTTGTGTTTTCAAACACGTTTATTTTTACGACCGACGAAAAAAATCGCATGAACGCATTGCGTTTTAAACTAAACGTCTTTAGAAACCGTGATATTCTAGGGTGAAAAAGTGTCGATTAAATGCACCCCTAGATATGAGCCACTGAACACTGGCGTACTGATTGGGGCAGTTGCCGCTCCCCCCCCCCCCCCCCCCCCCCTCCCCCGATACTTCCCCTCGATACCAGTGATTTACAAATATTGCTTAAATGACATGAATTTCCGGTATTTTTTTTCTTCAATTTCATTTGTAAAATATTCTTTTTTATGCGTTTGTTGGAAAATTACAAATTCCCAAATTTACAGTCAGCCAAAAAAATGTGCTCTGCTCCCCGGACGCGAATTTTTTTTCCGTACTCGAGAGGGCAAATACCCCATGTGCGCATGCGCGTGGACTTGTGATTTCTCTGCTACTTCCCATACGAAATGTACATGTATTCGCATCTACTGTGCACGATTCGCGTTCTACGAGTAAACGATGGCATAGTAGTCTTCAAACACAGACTCTGATTTGCCAGTTTGACAAAACAATTACGCATATATCGTGCGTAGCAATAGTACTAGTATTCAAGTCTGAGTAGTTGTATGATTCAGACATTTTAGTGCTTACAGAAATGCATCCCAAATTGAATAGCATGGTATAGTAGTCTGCAAGCACAGACGCTAATCGGACAGTTTGACAACATAGAGTCTTGAGTAGTGCTTTATATTCAAATATGTGTAGTTTTATGATTCAGACCCTACTGGTGCGTGTATTGGAAAGGCATCTCAACTTGCAGAGTGGCATAGTAGTCTGCAAGCACAGACGCTAATCTGACAGTTTGACAAAATAGTGTTATTCAAGTCTGAGTAGTTTTATGATTCAGACCCTACTGGTGCGTGTATTGGAAATGCACCTCAACTTATAGAGTGGCATAGTAGTATGCAAGCACAGACTCTCCTTTGACAGTTTGACAGAATAATATAGGCCTATTGTGTATTGAGTAGTGCTTTTATTCAAGTTTTCGTAGTTTTCTGTGTTGTGCCACTGCTCTCTCACTCTCTCTCTCTCTCTCTCTCTTTCTCTCTCTCTAGCTCTCCCTCCAGTATGCTCGCACTCTCTGTATTACTTTTATTTATAATCATGGTCTGCTGAGAGCCAGAAGGATGTTAACTCTTAACACAACGAATGCCCTTCTGGCTCTGAACAAACACTTCTCAGCACACTACTAGTATGTTGTCAAACTGTCAGATTAGCGTCTGTGCTTGCAGACTACTATACCATTCTATACAAGTTGCAATGTATTTCCATATGCACTACTGGGTCTGAATCATACAACTACACAGACTTGAATAAGCACATCGCGACACATACGCATATTGATTTGTCAAACTGGCAAATCAGAGTCTGTGTTTGAAGACTACTATGCCATCGTTTACTCGTAGAACGCGAATCGTGCACAGTACATGCGAATACATGTACATTTCGTATGGGAAGTAGCAGAGAAATCGTAAGTCCACGCGCATGCGCACATGGGATTTTTGCTCTCTCGAGTACGGAAAAAAAATTCGCTCCCCGGACCCCACCGAGGGCCCCCTGATGCTCATCTGAACGTAATTAAATGTCTAAAACCCATGAGCTTTAAGGGGCTCAGCCCCCTGGACCCCCAGCCAATTGGTTCCAGTCAATGTCACAAATATGGTATAGGCCTATAAATATGCTTCTCTGACCATGGCCCTCGGTGATCTCACAGCTGCGCTATCGGCCCCTCGACTGTCGTCTCGGGGAATATATAGCAGATCGAGCTTCCGGGGACCCCACGCCAATTTATGCTCCCTTGGAGGGGGGGGGGGGTGGGGTATTACCTTTCAATAAAAATTATGAATGATTAAATATGAATAAATGAAATAATAAATGAAGATATTGATAAATAAATGAATGATTTAACCTGAATATAAATAAATAAATAGATAAGTAAACAAATAAGTAAATAGATCTACGTAAAGAAAGAAAGAAATACATGAATAAGAGAATAATGAATTAATTAATAAATTTCAAACAGGATATAGACCTAGACTAGTCTAGATAAATAACTTGCAAATACGCGCAAGATTACGTACGGTATACGGTAAGGTACGCAGCCTCGGCGCTCATAATTGTAATTATTCGGCGCATGTGACCTTTAACCTAACTATCCTTCCTTGTCAACATGACGCTCTTGCTTCGTTACCCTTTTTGTGGCTGAAGATCGGAGATGCTCTATCGTAAGTTATGTCCTATATTAATGTTTGTTTAAATCTCAAATCAACCATGATACATTTCACATGCCAAGTATTATAGACATGACGATTGGAGAGAGTGTGTTGGTGTTTATGACAATTTAACGGATACGAATTTCTTTGAAATATTGATTATTGTCCCACATATTGAGTCTTTTGTGTGTTTAACTTGGATTCGTTGAGGCTAAAATTTCCGAAATGCAAAGCCATCGCGTTTTGTGACGATTGCAGAAGACAGCAAAATTTGCCAATCTTTTATCAATATTTTCATAATTTTAAACACAATTCCAAAGAAAATGTTGTCTCTGCGTAATTTTAGGGTGCTTGCATGTTCAGAAACGTATCCAAAATTTGACCCGTAACGTAACTCCGGCGTGGAGATGCCCTAGATCTACTAGACTCTAAATAAAACATAGGTCTACCCAAAAAGATGTAAATATTCATTAAATGTCTGAATAAAGATCATGAGTTAAAATTCGTTATGTTTATTACCTGTTTCGTGTCAGTTTTCTTGTTATTTTTGGAGTATTTTTCGAATAAACGTTGATATTAGTATACACCTTTTCACAGCAAACCGTGCCACTGCACAATACAAATACATACAGATAGTGGGTTGCGGGCGGGCGCGCGCCTGTGTGAATTTATCTACCGTAATGTCTCAGATCCTCATTACAGTAGATAACTTATGCATGTACAAGTTATAATGTCATGATGATGTAGTAGATTTTGAACCTTTTTGACTTTGTGTCTTGTTTGCATAATTATGGAAGCAGTAAACCCGGAGGCCAGGCAGGTGGTTGTTGTTGGCATTTAGATGGCGCTCTTCAATCTTGTCAGATTATCTGCGTCACAGCATTGATGTTCATCTTTTCAAACATTTGATTTCGGTATCTGGACAGTTGATTTGAAACAATAACTTGAAGAAGTTTACAAGCAATATTTCGTAAATCTTCATAGACCTATGTTGGGCAATATTATAATTAACAAATATTCATGACGGTTACTGGTTACCGTTAGTGCTAGTTATGACAATTTGTCTTCTTCTTCTTCATAGTGCTGAAAAAGAGTAGGCTCTATGTTTTGAAGTGTCTGGACACCCCCCCCCCCCCCCTGACCCCCTACCATACCGGTGTGGTTCCCCCAGAGTCCAGAGTTGTCAAGACATGAACGCCTTTTGTCAAAATTGATCTGCGAGAAGACCTTTTCTACTAGAATCAATGTATTCTGAATAAATGTACATGTAGACCCCTGTAGGCCTATGAAAATAGTTGTTCATGTTGATTTTTTTTCCCTTTTTCTTTTTTGTCTCCTGTCCAGATTTGCTAAATCAACCATGTCTTCAAACCTGAAGAGCAAGTGCTGTAAACAGCAAGGTGGATATTCAGAGGATATTAATAACAATCAGAATAAGTTGTGAATGACCCAGTGCCTGTAGCAATCAGCCACATCTCAAATGCAAGCTATAATAGTAAGATGCCACTCTTTGGAGATGAATCCAGAAGGATTATTGCCATGTGAGAATATCAGGGACAATGGATTCTAAGAAAAGGGAGAGCCATAAACCACCGTTGGAGACGAGGGATAGCGGCGTTTCTTGCTACACCCCGTCTCCTCCTCCCAAGAAGTCCTCTTTACTAAAGACGTCTGAAGGGAGTGCCAGGTCCATGCATCATGAGGTCTGTCATCAGCATCCTTCCATGGAAAGCTTTGATCAGAATGTTTCTAGTAATAATCCAGAAGAATTTCATGAGCAGATGATGATCCCACCAAGGCTAGACCTGAGTAGCATTATTGGAGATGATTCGGAGAGTGATGTCTCGTCATCTGGTATTGTATCAACCGATAGAACTAGTCAGTCCCATGATGAACAATATCCAGAGCTTGCCCTAGACACCCCATCCACAGACTCTAGAATGAGCCCAGCAGGTAGAATACTTCAAGGTTACCAAAGTGGTATAGATTCCACCTCTCCATCTCCTGCTCCATCCAGTTCTTCCAGTCCAAGCTCGTCAGGACTCCACAACCTAAGACGATGCAGAAGTGGTGAGTTGGAGGATGAGAGCGAAGGCAGCGTCTTGAAAGTCAAGTTGAAGCTGAAGTCAACCCGTCCACGTTCTGGTGGTGGAGTGAGGAAGAGAGATTTCACTGTAACTAAAGTAAGAAATTCTCCTCCTCTGAGTTCTTCTAGTGACTTGCTACATGAAGGAAAGGAACAAGCATATAAACACACCCCTGATGATGTCATGAGGTCAAAGTATGTTCCTCTTCCTGGTATTGGTCTACAAGGAGCTGATCAAAATATCAATAAAGAACACGGAGAGACCGAACAAAAACAATCTGTAATCGATAAACGTTTGAGAAGTCCAACATTAGAAATCACTCCAAGTGATGAGAAGGATATAAGAGAGCAGAGATTAATAGCTTTAGAACGCTCCGCATCACAAGGTGAAATAAGTAGGAAGTTCCCAACGCCACCTCCTCAGTCTGCCAAAACTGTTTCAAGACGAGCGATGAGGATGCAACAGTTTGCCAGGAGAAAGAGTGCAAGTCAGGCTGAATCAGTCTCAAGACAGGGTGTAAGACCAATGTCTCAGGCAAGTGACTCCTCTAAAAGTGTACTTCTTGCCATTCGCTTGCCCGATGGAACCAGGGTTCAGAACCTTTTTGATAGCACGCAATCTTTGCAAAGTGTCGTCCAGTTTGCCCTGAAGCAAGGAACATGTTCCCTAGATAGGAGCAATGTTTGTTTGGTCACCAATGACATGCCTAAGAGAGAGTTAATGAATTTATCTCAGACAATTGAGGTTGCTGAACTTCGTGATAGAACCCTGTTGAATCTTGAAGAGTTAGACTAAACTAGTTATATGGATAGTTACACTGTCCATGTACAGTAGTACCAACCAAGCATGCAGTTCTACCAAAGGCTAATAAGATTTAGGGTTTCGTAGAACAAGTATCTGTTTCTTGTTCGATGCTTTCTGCATTCGCTTTTTACAAGATACTTGCCTGGAAAAAAAGATCAATATGTTGGCAGAATTGGTATGTATACATGTACATGTATATATATTTGTTGAGTTTTGTGTCGCCAGAAACTAGAGATTTTGACTTTCCAATGGTGTGTACAACATGTACATGTACATGGCTTCTGTAAAATCCCTTAAAAACAGCCATTGGGTCAAAATTGTACCTTTCCCCTTTCCATTTATTCACTAATATGTGATTCAAATTAAATGTTTAACTTTCATGGATTGCACAAGGGGCGTGTCAAAAGGTGGGACAAGAGGCCATATTAAAGGGTCATGCAGTTTAATACGATATATGCACTTTGACATGATATTTTATTTCATCAAGGTCATGAATGGTTTGATATTGTGCAGCTGCCAATAGATGTCTTCCAATCGTTCTATTGTCAAAAGATGCAATTTTAGGGGAAACGGAATGTAACATTCTGTTACAAGTATATTGCTGAAGATTAGAACTTTGTACATGTATGTTTGTTTGGTTTTGTATGTCCAACTAATTACTTAAAACCTTGCTTCTCCATATAATGCTCTGTAACACTTTATAACCAAGATATATATAACTGTATTTCTCATGAAATGAGGAGCAGATATAATGCATGTTAAAGCCATGTACATGTATATCATAACATCATTAATTTGTGTGGGCCCTTCTCCCTATAGTCTATCTTATTTTGTAAGTGAAATCAGTGGTTTAAGCAGTATGTTAGGAATTCTGAAACGGTTCTGTAATTTGCACTTTATTATTTCATCAATATCCTCTGAATTTGTGAGAAATTTGTTAAAGAATATGCTGCATGTTGCTTTTATCTTCCTGTTGTTAACAAAAAGTGTAAAACTAGGTTATATTTTTAAATGGTACAGATGGTTAAAAAAGGAATGCAATAACAAATTAGAAAGTAATACATTTCCTGATGAGTTAAAAATTAATACCTATTAGCAGTGGCGGATCCAGGGGGGGGGGGAGGCCGGACCCCCCCCCCCCCCCCCCCACCCCTTGAAAAAAAAAAAAACATGTAAAGTTTGAATTTGAATTTGAATTTGAATTTGAACACATGATTTTTACCTTTTTGGGGGGTTGGGGGAGGGGTGCAAATTTTTTAATTTTCGGGAGCAAAAAAAAAAAAAAAAGTTGGGCCCCCTCCCCTAAGAAATCCTGGGTCCGCGCCTGCCTATTAGAGTATGAAGTCATGGGTATGCTTATTACTCTTTGTTTCTTATATAAACCGATGTGAAAGATTCTTTTTTTATTAAGGAGTGAAACCGTTATTTGCTTTAGATCTGTGCCAGCCTAAATTCTGTACATTTGTGTAGATCTTGGTATCACCATACAAGCCAATTTTAATTTGTACATGTATATGTATGTTTGTCCAGCTAGGATAACAGTGCTTTCATGCGGTGTGTGTGTGTGATACTTTTTTCTTATTCCTTTTTAACAAAATATAGTTTTGGAAAGTTTATGAGAATGAATTTACTAGTCCTTTTATTCTATATTTTCCTAAATGCAGTCATATTACATGTATGTGTATAAAGCGGATAGCAATTGTGATGTGTGCAGCTTGTTAAATTTAATGTTTAAAATGTGGTGTTATGAAACGACAGTATTCACCATTGATGTTGCAGTCTGTGGTATATTAATCAAGAGCATATAATACCAACAATATACGTAGAACACCAAGTGATATCATTAGCTTTGAGGTACCATGGTATAGTGGTTCATTCACTTGACTCTCAATTCAAGTGTTAAGAGTTCAAATCCCAGCCCATCACTAATGTCCCTTGGCAAGACTTTGATCCACATGTGCCACCCTCCTGTCAGGTGTAGATGGGTACCTGGCAATGCAGTGCCCACAGATAAAACAGATATAATAATAATGTTAGTATTTAATAATAATACTATATTGTTATTACGGTAGATAAGTTTCAGTTTCATAATTCTTTTCTGTTGTGTATGAACAGATAATAAAAATCAACTTATATAGGAACAATATACAAGTACATAATCCCTTTTTTTTTTTTTTTACAACAGTAACGTCAAAAATCGAATTTCCAACTGCACCTCCTTTTTTAAGTTTTAAACTGAAGATAAATGGACAATTCTACCAAGAACACGGTCGCAAAACAGTCCAGAAATTAAACCAAGGGCAATTTAAGAACCCTATATTGTACTGTATTACTTAAATCACGTATGGATTATGAATCGTGTCGTTGCAATGTTTGCACATTTTTAGCATATGACGGACAAGGCTATTGAAATTATTTAGGTTGATTCTTTTTTTAAAAATGGGACCGTATTTTAAAAGACAGAATGGCTTTTTATATCAATGGATTTTAATGTAACATTTGAACTTTAGCTCTATTTCTTTGTTTGCTCTGTTGGGCTTTAATCAAAGTGTTAAAAAGTAAATACCTTGCAAAGAGTTATTTCATCTAGATTGTAAAATGATTTAAAACCACATTTTATCTCTAGTTTTAGTACTTGCCTCATATTTCAATCTTGATTCTTTTTGTTTTTAACTTTCAGCATAATATATATAGTTGAGTTATTCCCTTTCTTGATTCGTATTATCTTACGAGACAATTACTTTCCCACACTGAGACGTACCTCAATACAGCTGTAATATAAGTCAAACTTTTGAAATTGAATATTTGATATTGAAACTGTGCTTATATTTTCATATTTTTACTTTGCTTGATGAATTTTGTGTGCAAATGTCAAAATAGAGTAGATTTGTTTTTAATGTTTAATTTGTTTTTCTGACCTTTAAACAATCTTTGTTATGCTATTAGCGTGTCCTTTAACAACTTTGTCCCGAAGTTATGAAATATGTATGTACAGTGTACTCGCAAATGAGTGATTAAAGAATTTGCTGGCTTAGTGCAGGAAATCTTCCAGCTGATATTCCGTCCATTAACAAAATACTTTATTTCAGTCTAGATTTAGGTACATGTAGATGAAATAGATTCTTTTTATTGTGTTAATGTAATTCTGCAGAAGGCAAAAAAGTTCATTTCATTTCATTTTGTTACTCTCTTTTCTGCATAAAGATAGGCGAGCATAGGGATGCAAAATCAAACAGTTTCGTAATAGTCTTTCAATAGTCAATAGTCTTTTTAAAGATGCCCGTTGCCCCGGATAACAGCCAACCCCTTCTCTTTGAAGTGCAATTCGTGAACGCGCATGGGATGACACTAATAATGGCAGTGATTAGTCTAATAATTATGCGCAAAGTGGGACGTCTCCAAGTGTGAAATATTTATCTATGGATAATTGAAGGTCATTTTGTACCATGTGCTACAAACTGGTCTATTGAAAATGATTCCGTCCCGCTATTTGTGAGTTTGTTTTACTTGATGAATTGTGCTGATCGTGTTTTCTGCTGATGTCTTTCAGACATTAATGTATGGCCTATTATAATAGTACCATGCTTCTAGATGAAAAATTGAGTTTTGTTGTTGTTGATGTTTTTTAATTAAAGCAGATAAAAGAGATGAAATCGTATTGAATAGTCCAAGTCTCTCTTTTCTTTTCTTTTTAGTAACGAAATTAATCATAATTTCCACTTAACAGTTTAACACAAGTAACAGATTCTCTCGCTCCCAGATAAAATTTGATTACTGACCGTACACAGTAATTCAACCATAATCCATCTATTGTTATATTCATCTGCTTTCTTAAATTTCGTAATTATCTTTATACCATCTCTCTCCCGAGGTCTCTCTTCCCCCTTCCTCCCTCCGTCAGCTCTCACTCTCAGTGTTGTTGTTTTTTTCTCTGTGCCATTCTGGTCCCTCTTCACTTACTAACAATAGTCATAATGCTGTCTTTCTCTCATCTCTCTCTCTCTCTCTCTCTCTCTCTCTCTCTCTCTCTCTACCTTTCCCTTCTTTACTAGTATTTTATGAATGTAGTTCTTTCACTGAATAATAATTAGAAGAAGAAGAATCTTTTAAAGTCCACTCCAAATTTTATTAAGTTAAACCGAAAATGGAAATTCTTTTTGCCCAATATTGATTGCCACTGAGCAGTGCCAGATCGACGTTGCTCTATTCTTATTGTTAAGGGATTTTAGCTCTTTATAATATAACAATTCTGAAGAATATGATACATTTGGTATTTGACCTAACTTATTTCGTGCATGGAATCATATTTAATGGACGCTTAGATTCGTATAATTTGATACAATAAAAAACAAATAACGTATAGAAAGGTTTCAGTTTCTTCACAAACCTAATCAAATCTTGTGCGATATCAGTAACTTACTGTTCTGTCCTCCGAGGCAAGTTCCTTTTGATTTTGTGTCTAATCGATTAAACCGCTGAATATTTCCTTCAATCTATTTCCTCTCTTGTGAGGTGAGTGAATATACCGTTTTTACCCGAACCCTCGTAACATTGCCTCATTAAACAAAACGAATAAAGATACAATCCATAGAGTCGAATTTTGTGGCAAATCGTTAGGCAGCGCGCTCGAGATGTTGTATGAGTATAATTTGATAATATTCGATTTACGCTAGATAGTTCAACGAGGCACAATATTACATCCATGTTTCTAAACTTTGTCATGAAAAATGTAGGCATTTGGGTCATGTCCGCCCAATGTTTGTTAATTCATAATTCTCCTTCGAATTCGGGGGAAATCGATTAGTGGCATAAAAATAAAGTTATTTCAAACATTTTTATTAGATCGAGATATCTCGCAGAGAAATATACCGTTATCATCCTTAATGCTGGATGCAATCATTTTAAACATGTTCAACTGATGTGTGTTGATCATCTTCATGGTGAGTGTGGAATAGAATATATAACTCCCTCTCTGTTTGTATCCATACGCTCCAGCAACCAAGGCTGACTATAGATACCCTGACAACTACTTTAATTTATATAGCTACTAAGGGGAGGGGGTGGACTCAACAAAATATTCCAGCTCCCCCCCCCCCCCCCAAAAAAAAAAAAAAAAATAAATAAATAAATAAATAAATAAAATATAAAAAAAAAAAAAAATAAAAAAAAATAAATAAAAAAAAAAAAAAAAAAAAAAAAATAAATAAATAAATAAATAAAATTAAAAAAAAAAAACAAACTTATATCGTAACCAACAAACATGTAGAAAATGAAAGTAAGAACCCCAGGCCCCCTCCCTCCCGAACCAATATAGTCATGTTCTGCTCCTAAAGAGGCCATAAGAATCGGATTTGGGCTGGGGAGGTGCAAACAACACCCCCCCCCCCCCCCCCCGTCATACCTAATTTACACATACACCGACGCGAATAATTATATTTTTGAATTGTTTTATACTTGTATAAAAAATTGCTGATAATATGCTCTTTACTGTATACATCTGTAATAGGAATTGATGAAGAAGGGGGGGGGGGAGGCGAAAGAATAGAAAAGAAAGGTATACCATATCCTAATGTTTTGTTTACATGTAAATCATGGTCATATATAATAGGCCACTTGGTTTCCCTCCCGGTTTCCCTATCCTGTGGATTATTGTCTGCTCCACCTAAATGTTGTCAATACTACTACAATTGTTTGTCTATCTTAATATAAGCGCTCGAGAGAGAGAACCAAAACGCCCAAAACGACAAACTTTTTATGACTTCGATGATTCCAACAATAGCGAAATCTATAAGCTCCTCCTCGTAACAATGGATTGAAGTTTCCCTTGACTACGGGTTTAGCCACGTCAACAAAGGGTGGTATCCCATGGCCATAGTCTTCCTACCAAAACATACACACACACGGTACACGTGCATAATATAGCAATACTAGCTAGTTGCGCACACACACACACATTACCACACTAGCTTCGCGAACTGACGGGACGGTCCGATATCAAAATCAGGCTCTTCAAAGTGCCACAACTTCTTACAAATACACATTAACCTTTTAAAATGGCCCACGGAGACCCCCAAAAATGGAATCTGCCAGGATGGAGGATAGAGCAGAGATATGCGGGGAATGTTCTCATCGGAAATTGGTCAGAGGAGAGACAAAAGGTTAGTTTTTTTTGGGTCATTTTTTGCCAGTCGTGGAAACACCTGTTGCATGTCAGTGGTCGTGGAACGGCCGTGTCTGCCCCGCTTAGCTTTGGTTAGTTACCGTAGTGCCACTAACTACTAGTGGACGTGCATCTCCGGCAAAATGGCCCCACTTAACTTGGTAGTCTTTAATAACTCACATAATCCTTGGATCCCCCTTCTTTCTCTTACTCTTAGCTTAAGGGGAATCGTTATAATCATTCCATGGTGAATCTGCATGATCTCGAATCTAAAATTCTCAGTCTGAGCAACAACAAAAAACAAGGCTCCACACCAATCAGTAATGACGATTGTCATGTCTTTTTCTTCAGGCAAGTGCAGACCAAATCAAAAATTTGAAAATTGAAGGGGCAAGTGTAATTGCAAGAAGTATTAATAATAGATCTAGACTACAATAATATAGAGGTTTCTAGCTGTCGTTTATTGAGCAATTTACTCCACTGATTCCAATTCCAGTTCAATCTGTTTGGAAAATTAACAAAACATTAAATCTAGATCTAGACCCCTAGATCTAGTCTAGACTATCTAGACTAGCAAAACATATTTAGAAATTGTTACTAGAAATAGATCATCAAGATCTAGTTAGACTACATCAAATCCATGGTCACATGTATACTTCGCAAGCCCTCACTAACACGAATACTCTTAACTTTAAACTTTTTCAGAAGAATTTGTAGATCTAGAACAACTCTCATTAAGTCATTTGTTGGTTCTCAATCCCTCACTAACATGAATAATCTAAACTTTTTCAAAAGAATAGTATCATAGAACAACTCTCATTTGTTGGTTCTAGAACCTTTTATTATACCTGAATACAATGCAGGGGTATCTTTTTTGGCATTAAAATGTTTTTGTTTTGTTTTTACTTACAGTTTGGGAGAGGAGGAGAGAAACACACATCAACTCATCGTATGGATTATCTCAACAACCGCAATTTCGCACCAGATGTCATGACCAGAAGGGCAGCAAAAATGAGAAACGAAGTAAGTTTAATCACTCCCATCATGTACTCTTTGCTTTTTTTAAAATAAAGGTCATTTTTAATGAAATCATCCATTTTGCCTACATTTTTAAAATGCTATCAGTCATTGCCATGAAGCAACAAATAATCAGTCAAACCATGCTAAATTTTACCTGTACACTGTAGGCTACATGTAATATATATCGTCTGTTTGGAGGCAGAAGAGTGTAAAATCAAAGTTAACACCCTTGTGACTCTGAACAGATCGATCTAGTAATTCTACTTTTGAATAAATGCCATTTTACGTGTTACATGTATTTTTATGATTTTGTTTTTCTTCATTTTTAACCATTTTCTATTCTTCTCTCTATTTCTTTTTCTACAGGGACTGGATCAAACCTTGCTCTTCGCACACCATAACAAAAATCTCAAGAACAACCTTATCTCGTGGTACGATGAACAGTTCAACAAACGTGAGAGGTCAGGAGGCGATCAGCTCCCCGAGCTCAGGCACTGGGACGGTCAGAAACTAGCATGGGAACCAGAGAAAACAGATCATCCTGTCAAAGGTAAGATTTCATCAGTTTGATAAATGTTTGTCTATTGCTGATATCTTTAATAGAAACTTCTGTTTGATATGTTGTGGATTATTATAAATATTTAAAGCGAGCCGATTGTTGTTATGACACCTTTTTTTGCATGCTCTGATTCCCTCTGAATTTCTTTGAATAGGGTGTGTCTTGCGCCTGATGTACATATCTGTACTACATGTATATAGTAAATACTATGGTTAAAAAATGCATGATAAATATTGTTATGGAATAAACAGATAAATTAAGTCAAATTGATGTGATGAAAGTCACTGATTGAAATATGGTTATTTCATTCATGTGTTTTAGGCCAAATAACAAAACTGAAGTGTTTTTCATCTCCACCCACCTCCCTTTTTTTTTTTTTTCTTCTTTTTTTTTTGCTATTTACTATTCAGAAGAAAGAAAAAGCCTGTGATATACATTTGTTTAAATAGCTTCTAAAGTGAATACAAATCATTTGTTTTGTCATACATTGCATCAGTATACTCACATAGCACAATATCTGTGAATAAATAGGCTTGACCAATGGCCAGCTATAATTAGCATGGCAGCCATCTTGGGAAAAAATAGCAAGAAAACTGCAAAATAGTGAATAGTAATGCCCTGCCTCCCTTTTTTTTTTTAAAGTCCGGACGAGAAACACATTTTTTGTTGTTTTTTGGCCTTACATGACTTCAAAACTCCACAAAGGCCTGTATGCGTTGTACCAGTGTTTTTTCCTCTTAATATCAACGTGGCCACCCAGTGTTATTTTATTTTTTTCCAAAAGCCAAAATATTTATGAATAATTATTATCCATTTGATTTCAATCAAACAGGTGCCCCAACAAACTTTGGCTTGAAAGACAGACTACAAGAGAAATGGAAGACTGAGGAAGCAGACAAGAAGCTGAGTGATTACAGCACAACATACGGACTAGACTACAAGAACAAACCCAGGGCGGCTCTCGTCACTGAACACTTTGCCCCACAGAGGGCTCAATCATCCAGAATGCATCCCGTTAATAAGATCAATAAGGATACCAACCTGCGGAGTACGTCCATCCTCCAGACACCGCAACAGATTCATATGAGGACCAGGAACGAGGCCGTCTCGAGATCAGGACCTGCACCTGTTTCGGTTTGAAGTGACCAGGATTATATGAGACTATTACGAACGTTGACTTACACTGTACATGTATGTGATCAACGCAGAAACATTGATGGAAGCCGGTCTTAAACGTCATGCACTGGATGTAAACATGGAAGCCTTTTCTGGACAAAGTGGGAAAACAATATATTTTGAAAAATAACATTCATGGATACAAACTTTTCAAATCATGAATTTTCAATTTTATTTATTTGTGATCATCATTTTGTGACAGAATTTAGCTGAATAATATGTTAAATTGAAGGTATTGTGATTAGTTGGCAAAGGGTAATGTATTGTAAACATTCATGCAAAATTTTCAATAACAACAAAATGTTTATTTACTTGAAATCATCCGTTTTGTGACATACAGTGTAAAAAGTCCAGCTTGAAATATGTCTTAAATCATAGATTTAAATGTATACTCTCTGAATAATTATTTTGTGATGTGTTTCATTATAGATGCAAGCCGCTATGCAATTCACCGTCCAAAACCACATAAAATTTGAGTCTACATTATGTGTGTACACATTAAATCAGTATGATTACATCAGTTAATGCTATGCAGAATTTATATTTCACAAACAGTATTTATTGCTATAACTCAACTTGATGCAGCATTTCTGTGCCTTTCATGTACTTGTACATATGTCAACATCAATTATGCAATCACATGAGTTTCAACAGTTAAAATTATATTCTAGTATAATAAATATGAGATTAATTCAACATGACTTGGTGTACCGGTAGATATATAGGCTCAAATTCACATGTTGTGTAACATGTAACACCTACATGTACCAATAGTCTAGTCCTAAGTTTAATCAGTCTCGTCAAGGTACATGTAGTTGAATCGTAACAATTCCTAGCTTGGAAACTCTGTGCGCCTGAGCTTTGCTAGTCCACTGCTGGGGATGCATCGTCCAGGCCAACCCTGGATGACGTCATCGGCTCATGAAAGCTTAATTAATAGCAAAGATTCAACCACTTGATGTCAATAGAGACTTCAGAAGCATATAGATAACTATAAATGTTTTCTAGGCTAAATCATTTTCTCTGTAGATGTTTTTGACCATTAGTCTGTTCTATGATTAACTGATCAGAAATTATAAATTATGATGGTAATTTTGCAATAGTCACACAAGATCTTTAATGCTTGAAATCATGCTGATGAGAATTAGGTATTAAATTCCATAGAGTGAATATTCTTTTATATGTACTTATATTATATGCTCAGTAGTGTATTTATAATGACATTTGGCTTTATTAATCTATCAGTATCAACATACATGTATGTGATCAAAATATCCTATGCAAAATCATGTGCTACAGTATATCCGTGTTACTTACAGTTTAATATTATGTAAAAGCATATATCTACATGTATGTGTATCTATATGAATTTGACTGTGTAGTTGCCTTGATAATGTGTTATAAATTTTGAATAAAAACAAAGGAACTATATGAATTTTGTGTATGAACATCTACTTTTTAGAGTATGTTTATATTTAAGTGTTTACTTTGCCCGAAGAATGTAACTATATAACTTAGTACATGAAGAGATGTGTGATGGAAAACTAGAATTGTGATTAACCACACTGAAGGAAAAATATAAGGGAAGCATGTCAGCATTGTATTGGATTCCAGCCGTGAGTCTGGCCTTATGGACGTATTTCAGTGGGCTTGGACCGAGTTACATCTTTAAATCCTATTATTTTACGACAGCCTCATGACTTAAGGCTGGGATTATTAGTAGATGTACAGAAAACTGGAAAGAAGTTTGATGTACTGAAACACGGGAAAGAAAGGGAAGACATGTTAATACGTATACAAGATAACATGCAACATAAACATTCTGAACCATTTGTTGTTTACATTGTGAGTCTGCAGACTTTATCTTATCATACATGAAGCTCTAGTTCTTTTTCTTACTCAATGCTTATCTCTCACTTTTTGCGTCATCTATTCACCATCTCTTTCATTCGTCATTCATTTACACAACTTTCAATCTCTTTTTCTATTATTCATCAGTCTTTCTCTCCCCCCCCCCCCCCCCCAGTTCCTCTCTCTCTCTCTCTCTCTCTCCATCTCTCCTACCATTATTAAGCACCTTTTCTTTTCTTCCTCAATCCCCAAATTTGACCTTTTCTATTTCTAGTATTATTGTCCCCTCTCATCACTTTCACCCCCCCCCCCCCCCCTTCCATCACTCTTTCTCTTCCTTACATCTCTCTCACTTTTCCCACTCCACTTCCTATAAATAAAGAGCTTCACAATTCAATGTCTATAGGTCACTTCTGCATGGTCGTATTAACTTTCTGGCTTCTGAATACCACACTGAACTTTGGCTTGGCTTGAAAATACCTCCAACTGTGAGGTCAAAGCCTTTCTGAAGCTCAAAAATCTTTCCACAACAAAATGTTGAGCTTCATATGTGATTTTTGCAAAGGAAGAAAGGGAGCATAAAGGGAGCATAAAGGAAGCATCTGAAAGAAAGCACAAACTAGGAATATTCATGTATTGTGTTGACAGTGGCATTCATAGGTTTATTAATCTTACATTTTGGCATACAAATCATTCATGAGGAAAAAGATATGATTTTGTTTTCCTTCTGTTAAAGTAAGATACATGTCAACGAGACCAAGCAGTTTGCGCATGTGTTAAGAATACATTTTTTTTTACATATACTTCAACATGCATGATTCTTCATACATAATTGTCTTTTCATTTCTTTTCTTTTCTTTTCTTTTTCCTGTAACACCACGCTTTCTTTACAACTTTACTGTATTTCATTAACGCAATGATATAAAATTTTCAGATTGAAAAAAATCACTACCTCTACCCATATCATATTCAGGTAATTACATATACATATATATCTTTGTATAAACTGTAAGTACAGAAAGGGATCCCCTTCCTCCTTTCAAATAAATTTCATCTAGTTTTTGCATTGCATCATACAATGCATAATACATCACAATCTCATGAGGAAAAAAAGAAAAACATCAAAATTCATTCAAGAAGAAAAATAAGCTACACTTTTCTGTCCATGCTAAAGCAAGTGAATAAAATATCCCTATATATACCATCGTAACTCTACTGATAATATCTCCCACTCAAACACGACGTAAATATAAAGAATGAAATGAAAGATATTGAAAACAGGTTATGCTCAGAAAATATACGTATAACTTCTACCGCAAAATTAAGGTCTACGAGATCTTAAGAAAAAGCCATATCCTAAGTAATGTTTTCACCAACACCAATCTCTTTTCAAACTTATCAAATGTGCTCAAAAATTCACATGTTCCTGTGAATTGCACTAAGAATTGTTTTCTTGGCTAAGAATAATATGAAACAAACAATGATTTTTTACAAGATACTCTTATAAAGAGAAACGTCAATTAACACTTGTTCAGTAGAGAGATACTGGATAAATTCCCTACTTGCATTATTTGATTGCTAAAAAAATCAATGACTTCTTCTCATTCTAAATATTTGCGTATCTCAGTCTGTTCACTTTACGAGAACTACAGTCTACTCCTAAATTACAACAAATAAACCAAATTGTATCATTTAAACAAACAAAACCACAGGCTTCCCTTTATCAAAATAAAATGACAACATTCTCAAAGTGAGAAGTATCTAAATCAAATTCATCTCAAAACAGAGTTTTACCTAAACTATGACATTTCATCATTATATGACCACACACATGCAGCATGGCAGTTAACGTTTGCTGTATCATCAATTTGGTCTATCGATAAAGAAAAACTTAGAATTTAAAAGAAACAAACTCTCCAATACTGTGGATTTTGTTACACTATGCAAAACCAACAAAAAATGCATATCATTAGAATATTACAAAAATACAACATTCAATTTTGTACTTACATAATAAAAAGACTGAATGGTATTTTCCCCACAATAAAGTGATCTGAACAGAGGCTTTGTGTTACTCAAGAGAATAACTCAAACTCATAAATCTGTCTACGATATGTATTGCTAATAGAATAATACTAAATGTGATATGTGATGCAAAGCTTATGCTACAAGCCTTCTTCAAAGACATTGTAAAATGTGAGAGATTTATGCTAAAGATTAAATCACAATAAATATTTCCATTTGTAAGAAAATTACGGCAGTCACATATTAAAGTACTGTATAAAACAGCCTTTAAGATTGAAACATTAAATGAAATCACTTTACCTGCCTGTTATCACAAAATAAAATTTGTATTAAATTACATGTCCTTGTAAATTTTGGGAATTCAATAAAACATGTCCAGCACATCAAGATGTAATGCAATAATAAAGATCATTTTAATGAAAGTAGGACAAAATGAAAGGATTTCTAGATTTAAATAAAATTGGCAAATGGACAAAGAAAAAGGATATAAATTACTAAACTAATGATATATCTATATCAATATACTCATGAAAGTAAAGTGCACTTAAAATAGAAGGAAACAAAGAAACTAAAAGAGAAAATATGGATTGTTTTAAAATTGTCATCAAATTGAATAACATTGAATGTTAGGCTAAACAATCTTAGCTAAAATGTTGAGTCTAAGAAATCTACTCAAGGCAAAGACACTTAATAGAAGAGCAGTGACACGATGTCACATGATCTTCCAGTCACTTCATTGACTCCCTCTGAAAAATCTATAAGATGCACATGTGGCATTACAAGAGGGATTTCCCCTAAACTACGAATCAAGATATAAGTATGTTCCTGTTCCCAAAAGAAAATACTGGTGATTATTAACGGTTTCTCTCAACCACATTTCTTTGTCTCTCTCCAAGAGGCAGTTATATTATCTATCTGTTTAGGTTGCATTCTCCCACTTTTCTTTGATTCTTTCTCAAATGATATATAGGGATTGTTACAGGAAAGAGGGTTGTGACCACCATGCTTGGTTTCATTTCTTTAGCGCTTGTAGGATGGTCCCCAGCGAGGAGCAGAGGAGGCAGCAGCAGGGGCTGGTTTGGGGGCTGCTGGGGCCTGCCCTGGGGCTGGTCCACCCATAGATGGGAACTCATTGACGTTAGAGGTGTCCGGTGGGTTACTCCAGGGGGCATCACGGATGACGAAGCCGCTGTTGCTAGTGTTCTTAGGAGCTTCCTCTCGGCGGCTGGGACCACGGATGTACTGCTGCATCTCTTCGGTCTCAGTCACATCCATCATCTATCACAAAGAATTACACATAAAACCATTCAATTAACATTTTAATAATAAATACTTTCTTTACTTTCCACTTTTTATTTAGATACTCTGAACAAAATGTTTATAAGTGACACTCTATTATCCTACATACTCCTTTAATAGCGTTATGTATCCCCTCCCCTTACCGGCTGCTATCGACTCAATCATTCATGCTTATGATAGTTAGCCTCTTTATTTATCTTGATTCTTTGACAGTTTGACTTACCTCCATACTTTCAAGTTTTTGATTATATATATATATATATATATATATATATGCATTTTTGGTGTGTGCATTTCAGTTGCCACTCTTTATGTAAATCAATTAAATTATATACTATTGTTATTTGAATATTTTGTATTTGATTTATCGACAAATGCAGAAACATCTGGTTTCAATTTTTTTTTTTAAATACAGCATTTATAATGCACCATGGATCCAGTAGACTATTCTGCAGCACAGAGAGATGTTACAGAAGTAAAAGAATTAAAGATAATTTTCCATAATGATCAATCAATAATACCCATCAATAAGCCTTTTTGTAGAATCTACATTCTGATTTATTATGAGGTGGCATTCCGATGTTCTTTGTTCCTGTTTCAACTGAAATAGCAGACTCAGAAATCATTAAAAAGGACCCTCATAGGAGTGATTATTACAAAGTGGACAAAGTGGGACCTCCGCATGTTTTGAAGATCTGTGGATATTTGGGGTCATTTGGGACATGTGCTAACCGTGAAGCGGTCTATTGTCAGACTAAATGGACTCCAGACATCCTACTTACATATTCTTCCTCCAGGTTCTTGAGATAGTCGCAGCATTCGTCCACATTGTCAGAATCACCAGTAACCACGACGACGTTAGGGTTAGGATCCTCCTCCCGTGGGAAACGGATATCAACCTTGTACTCGTCCATGATACGGTTGATGGCCTTGCCACGAGCGCCGATCAAACGACGATGGATGCGATGATCGATTGCCAGTTCAACAGAGACTTGGTCCTCCTGAAGGTGTAAAGGAATGATATTCATGAGAGATCAATTGAGGTTTAGAGTTAAGAATGCTCACCTGACACCTCTATAACCAAACAGTTTTCACACATCAAAAGGAACCATTCTGTGCAGTTTAGCTCACCATCTCTTCAATTGTTGGAGGTGCTCATTAGTAGATACTATTTCCTCTTTCTCCCTATGAAAGGAATATGTTCACTTGTGCAGTGCAATACTGTGTACGCTACAGCCAGAAGTATAATTTCTCAGAAAAATTGTTTTACAGTGCCTTATTCAGGAGGGCATCACCATAAGCATTCTAAATGATGTAGCTGAAATACCAAGGCTCAGTCCTTACATATCAACTTCTACTAAATACCAAATTGTTTGATGATTGTATCAAGCAACGCGAGAGCATGTATTGTGAGTAAGAACATCCTATTTATTACTTGTATCCAGGTCTCCACACAAACTTTTTTGGAATGGGTTCCGGATAGAACTTTATACAATCTGTTTGCATTAGCCTTATGAAAAAAAACTCCAAAATTGGGGGATCCGATCCTCAATTTGGAGCGCCCATGTGACCCGGGGCGCCTGTTAGTGTCGAGCCCTCCTTGTTTCCTATCACAACAAGATTTCTTTTAAAGATGTACGACTGTAGAAGTGTCGTAGTCGAGTGGTTTTAGCACTCGACTTAAAGATGTACGACTGTAGAAGTGTCGTAGTCGAGTGGTTTTAGCACTCGACTTAAAGATGTACGACTGTAGAAGTGTCGTAGTTGAGTGGTTTAAGCACTCGACTTAAAGATGTACGACTGTAGAAGTGTCGTAGTCGAGTGGTTTAAGCACTCGACTTGAAATTCAAAGGTTGTGGTTCAATCCCCGACACGGCACTAATGTCCTTTGGCAAGGCATTAATCTTCATTTGAAACACTAGACCCAGGTGAGGTAAATGGGTACCTGGCAGGTATTAAATCCTTGGAATGCTCGAGCGCTGTTATGGAAGCTAGGCTAAAGCTGGGGTAATAATAAATGTGCCTCAGAATAGAATTTCTAGATAGACGGCGATATAGAAATGCCTATATTAATTATTATTAATATTATTACTCACCAATTCCTTGACGATGGCTAGGATCTCCTCCTTTGCAGCCTCAGCGTTGGCCTCGTATCCCATGATCTTAATGGTATCCTGTTCCTCCTGGTTACGGGCGGGGAACTGGATGTTGACCTCATGCTTGATGCGGATCTTACCGATGACCGCTCCCTTACGGCCGATGATCTTAGGATGGTACTTAGGAGCCACGGTCAACTCCACAGTGAACGACTTGAGACGCTGGGAGGATGAGATTTAGGGAGATAAATATTTAGTCATAAGTACGTCTGACGGATGGATGGATGAATATACGTCAGGAAAAATTTCACAATGAATCTCCTAATTATTCTTAAACTGTTTCATATGAATAACAACAACAACCAACAGATATTATATACCTCTCTTTAGAAATCTAGTGGTTTGATTGGTCGAAATTGCAGTCATGATTTTAGCCATTCCCACCTATCTAATGGATGGATGGATGAATAAATATATGTTGGGGAAAATTTCACAATAAATCTCCTAATTATTCTTTTACTGTATCATATGAACAATAACAATAACAACAACCAACAGGTTCTAGTAAGCAGGAATAAGACAGAACACAACAAAGACTTGAGAAAACTGATAAAAATATCGCAAATAATACATGCTTGTAGGTCTACACATTTCTCAGCCGGAAATAATATTTGGCAGAAAGTATTTCAAAGTACTGCTTATCTTACACAGTCATGGAATGGGAGTTATATCAGTATGTATGGCAAAAACGGGGAAAGAGATGTCTCATTAACTGATAAGCATACAGATAGCCATTATGTTCTCAATTAGATTTGATTTCTAGTGTACATTTAAAATGTTGATGTGGTAGAGAAAGGACTAGTAACCTATACTTACTCTGTCTTCTTGCTCATCATCTAGCTCCCTGACTCTCTTGATAAGAGCCTCTACACCTCGGGCTACATTGACAGGTGTACCTCTCACAATCACAACATCGGACTGCTCACTGGCAGGTGGGATGGCAATGTTCACCTGGAAGCAAAACAAAAGTATTTATTTTGTGCCATTTGATATTGGTATTACACACACTTTCCAAAGACTTAATCTCTGACTAAGTATTTTGACATAACAATTGCCAAACTATATTTTGTATCATGATTGTATATTTTTGCAAACAGGTCATAAATTGAATGAGGATGATTCCCAATATATAGTATTTCTCAAGTTATAATTACTATATCATAATTCAAATCATTTTCATCACCTGAGAACTAATTATTTTTTCATTTTAAACCAGTGAGAAACACATACCAATTATATAATTTTTATAATAGAGTTTGATAAATGAATTTCTCTTTAGAGTCATTTTCTGTTCACATATTTCTAATATAAAATTTAAAATTTTCATATCAAATAAATTAATATATCATATTGTAGCATTGATAGCATGGGAATATAAGTGGGGCTGAGACTCGAGCACTGGTTGATTCAAGTCTAGTTGCACTCACATCATTTTCTTCCATCAGATGTCTCACACCAGCTCCTTTAGCTCCAATGATGTAACGATGATAGTCAAAGGGAACATTCACTTCCTGGGTGATTGGAACCAAAGCCTGAAGAGACAAAATAAACAATGCAATAAACCTGTTCGTAAATAGCTTAGGAATCCATGACCCCAAAATATCCAAAGATCATTTACACGATGGATACGTCCCACTTGTGCATTTTAGAATAATCACTGCCGAAGTGATGAAAGTGCTTCATGGACATATTTTGTTTGCCTCTTGAGAAGAATACTTCCACCAGTGTATCAGATAAATCTACTGTTAGTGCATAAATGAATACTGATTACATAACTTCATGAGCACGATACCAATATGTCTCGATGGATTTACAATTTGAGAACAAATGACCTTCATCTGCCCATGCACAGCTAGTATGTAGGAAATGACGTTTTACTCAGCATCTAATCACTTCTTCCTCGTATTTCATTGTACCATCTTCTTTTTTCTGCATTAGTTCTCCTCCTTTTTCTTGTGATTAATATAACTGACATTCGCATCACCCTAATACTAGTAATAATAATCTGGATTTATAGAGAGCTTAATACGGAATAGAGATATTATTACCCTGGTCATTGGATTCATTCACGCACAATGTGCACCATCTCCACTCCCATGGGAGTATTCCTACCATATGGTCACCGTGAGGGCATAGGCAATTACTAACACGAATGCTTTTGTCATCCAAACGTGTCCCCATTTCTCTCTTGGGTATTGAGTGGCACATGTAGACTAATGTCTTGCTAAAAGACATTAGACTCTAATGGCCAAGTCTCTCTAAGAGATGAGGGGGTATTACTTGATTGGCCTACGGATTTGCTTTATGCAGACTTGTACACCCATCAATGGTATTTTCACCAAGTCTGTTTGTCAGCGAATTATGAAACCTTTCAACCAAGCTTCTGAGAAAGAAACGCTACTCCTGAATTCTCTTACCAAGAGAGCTTCCTTGGCCTTGTCACAGTTATCCTTCTTTCCTGTAATCATGATGATATCTTGTTTCTTAGGACCAGGAGCTGGAGCAGGAGCAGCTGGAGTCTCCTCACCACCCTCACCGTTGGTCTCGCCATTAACTGGCTGGGCTGTAAGATGAAACAATGTCAAGTCATTAGTTAGATAATACAACTTGTGATTGTGTGATCCCAAAATCTAATCAGTTCAGTGGCTTTGCAAGATACACAAATCACCAAAGTTTGACGGGAATCCATCAATCGGTTCAATCACGAGACGTACGTACGTAGTTATGTACGGACAGACAACCCAAAAACATAATGCTTCCGGCTACTTCATAAAAACTACATTTAGACATTTTAAGTTTGAACTGTATATGAATGTTAATGTTTAATATAACTAAATGAAATTTTGATTTCTTTTTCTTTTTCCTAACACACTTCACACTTCTCCTCTTCACAAGATGGTAATATTTTATCACCGGTAATCTATATATTTTTATTTATTGTGGGGTTAGGGTGGTGGGATTGTATTTTTGGTTAATCTAAATCATCATTTTACAAAAAGGGAAATAATCATCCGAATGACATTCTCTACTGTATCAAATCAGACTTAACTCCCCCCCCCCCCCAAAAAAAAAAAAAAAAAAAAAAAAAAAAAAATTGGGGTACACAAGAGCCCATGGAGCTCAAAATGTACACTGATTTATAAAACTAGTGAATAAAATTGTTGTACATAGGAATTACCTCCAAAAAAACTGTTTCTGCATGATTGACTTACCAGCAGGAGGAGCAGGAGGGGGAGTGTTCTTATCAGGGAACTTGATGGCTACATCAAACTCCTGAGTGACCGTCTGAATGCGAGAGCCTTTGGGTCCCATGACGGTACCATGAAACTTCTGAGGAATGATGCACTCAATAGAGACTTGCTGAACCTATAATGGAGATGTAAAGATATGATCATTGCAGGAAATCAAAGAATACTATTGATAAAGCAGGGAAAAAATTAATATTTATTTTTCGGGGGCTACTTTTCAACCTTGCCTGCATGAAAAAACATTCTAAAATTTGTTTTGCATTCAACCCTATGCAAATTTAAGGGGGCTCTTTTCTGATTTTTGGGGGCTCTTTTGGGCATTTTGGGGGCTATTTCGCCCTGAGCCCCCGTGTATTTTTTTCACTGTGATAAAGGCATAGAGAAGATTTTGAAGTTTATTTGTTCGGCATTTAATTTTTTTTTTTTTTTTTTTTTTACAAGCGTTTAAACGTAAAATACAAAATAATTTAAAGATTTCAAATCAAGTATAATGTACAGAAAATAAGTACGAAGTTTCGAAATATATAATGTAAAATGTGGGGAGCCTAAATTTGTCTTGCACTCAACAAAGTTTATAATAAGAAAGAAATAGAAACCATGAAACCACACATAATTGGAACTAGAGCAACAAAACAATGAGGTGTAAACCCCTTACTTATTTCTAGGAGCATCTACACTCTGAAGTTCAGTAAATAATTTCTAATCTTCAATAAAAGATAAACTATCCTCTCGAATGAACAAATAACATTAAGAAGGGTAATCTTGTCACAAAGCATAATTCGTAAGACTTTTCACTCCCTCTGCAAATAAAATGGACAATAATACTTAATAAAAAACAATGAATAAACTACATCAAGTTGTGCTACAAAGATATTTTGCTGGGCAGATTTTAGGGATACATATCTTGAATAGCAGGAGGACTTACAAGATCTGACACAATATCTAGGATGCGTTTCTGAGCTCCATCCACACAGTCTCTGGCTCCCTTGATGACTACCTTGGTGCTAGATGATCCGTTGCGTGGGAAACTGACTGTCACTCCACCGTACTCATCACCAATCTCACGCAGAACCTGGCCACGACGGGCAACAAAGTGACGGTGGAACTTGGTGTCCACATCGATCTCAGCCTCGGTGATGTTGTCCTGTAAAGGTGAATAAGGATTCAGGTATTAATGTCTCGAAGAGCATCACATGTTTATTCTTCTTCACAAATGTTTTAGAGCACATGTACACAAAAGTGGGAGAAATCATGCCACACAGGTGTAGGAATGTCAGATGTAAGATCCTAGGAAATTTAGAAGACTAGTGGGGCGTTGCAAAAAAGTTGAGTTGCAATTAATTGCAAATGCAACTTTCTTGCAACCCCCATTAGTGTCTAAGCAAATCTATAGAAAACATATATATAACATGATGGGACCAATAAAACCAAACAAGTGACAATCATCATCATCACCACCACCACCACACCTATTATCAGCATCATCATCATCTCCATCATCATCCTTACCAGGTCTTTGATGAGACTAGCCAGCCTCTTCTTAGCCTCCTCCACAGCCTCCTTGGTCCCAATGATCTGGACCAGCGTCTGGTCATCATCGTTGTTGTTAGGGAAGACGACTCGTGCTCCGGTCTCCTCACGCACTTTGCGGATGTTTGCTCCACCACGGCCAATCAGGAACCTGTGATACTCCGGCTTGGCATGAACGTCGACGGTGAAGCTGGCTTGCTCCTGTTTGAAGAGAAATGATTAAACATCAACTGATGATGAAACAATTGTGTACACAAAAGTGACATAGAAATGTTTTGCTGATTCAAGTTCTAGTACGGCAATCAGCTTGATACAGATATACTAATGGGGTATTGCAAACTTCCTCGCAATACCCCATTAGTAAGAGAGAGAGAGGGGGGGGGTGGGGGAATAAAAGCTAGATCTAGTTAACTTAATGAAATTGTTAAAACTTTAATCCTAACAAATTCCTAATAAATTTTTTCGAGTAGTGGGGCGTTGCAAGGAAGTTAAGTTGCAATCAATTGCAAATATCAGTTGCAAATTTAGCAACTTGCAATCAATTGCAACTTTCTTGCAATGCTCCATTAGTAAGGAACATATGAGATCCAAGAGCCTTCAGAAATATAGAGTGCTCTTTCATGAACGGCCTGCCATAGTTAATCCAACTTTAAGTCGATCTTAGTCTTTGTGAAACACTCCCCTGGGTCAAAGAGGGACAAATGTGGTCAAGAAACATTGTACAAGAACTTAGTACGGAACATATGAGATCCAAGAGCCTTCAGGAATATAGAGTGCTCTTTCATTAACTCTTATCCTGCCACAGGGCTAATCCCCATTGTGCCAAGCCACAAATCCCCCCAGTGCCAAGTTTATTTTGAGATAATCGGATTAACGCGATGGTAGTATCAATAGCGTGTGCGAAACACTAGGCACAGTACAATGGGCATGAACAATAACTGCTTTTACAAATGCTTGCTATAACATGCAAGAAGCAGCAAAGCAGTAGCTTGCTCGTGTGTACAAAGCACGATAACAATAGCGTGCATACAGCCTTATGGTAGGATATGAGTTACCAAAAGATCTTTGTCCTTTCCTTACCCGTTCATTAGTAAGATCCATGAGTTGTTTCTTGGCTTTTTCCACTTCGTCCTTTGGTCCTCTGATGGTGACCTTGTCACTCCCTGAGCCTTCCTTAGGGAAGTGAATGTGTGCACCACCGCATTCATCCATGATAGCTCGGATCAGACGACCCTTAGATCCGATCAGCGACTGGTGATGTTTGGTAGGGATACGCACCTCCGCTTCAGTGATATTGGCCTGATTGCAAAATAGATCGAACCATGATTAATATTTTACATTGTGAATATTCTCTTTTTTCTTCCTTTTTCGTTAGTTTTTTTCCTTTTTCATTAATAAATCATTGAAGCAACGACCTTGTCATTATTGATTACACAAGACGTAGCACGGTTCATAAGTCTTTATTGCATCAACACTTTTGTATATATTAATATATTCACAAACATTATTACATCATAACATATAACATTAGGAGGAAAGGCACTTTCAAATGGTCTGAACTTAGAATTCTGTTGAATGAAGCAACATCACATTTTAAAGTGCACTGCCATCTCCTACAGAAACTGAGATGACAACTTTTTAAGAAATCTTAAATATTTAAAATGTTTGACATTGGAAAATTTTTTTGATACTGAATAAGTCTCATCTGCATTCTCTTCATTTCAATTAATCAATTCCTTATTACTTCATTCAAATCATTCTTCTTTTGAGATCTTACCAGTTCACTTTCAATGGCAATGATCCTTTTTTTAGCCTTCTCAACGTTAGCTTTCTTTCCTGTGATCACGATAAGATCACTGTCACTGCTCTCTGTAGGGATCTCAATCCTTGTATCTGTATCTTCCTTGATCTAGAAAACAATCAGGAATACAAATTACAGGTTAGATACAAACAAACTTATAAATCAATTACTGGAAAGAGTGCAGACCTGCCAACCTCTGGAGTTCAAAAACTGTATTCTTTAATCCCAAAAGTTGTATTTTACTGACAAAAGTTGTATTCTTAAAATAAACACGGACATTGTACGTCCCACAACCTCATTTCAGAGAAAAAAATGAAGGAGTGAATTTGATAACCACTGCAGAAAAACAAACTTTTATGATTACAATTTGTGTAGATCTCACGTATTCCAATCAGATTTCTGCTCGTATTTTTGCAATTTGTTTATTCCTCAGTAGATATTGGCAAAGGATCAACAAGCTATGCTTTCCAGTAGGTTCCTGTTTCATTTCATAATAATAATAATAATAATAGCTAGGACCGAAGGCCCTCTCAAAGCGCTTTACAGATATATACATTATTACCCCAGTCATCGGATTCAGGCTTACCCGCACACAATGTATGCACATTCTCCACTTCCTGGGGAGCATTCCAGCCAGGCATCATTTTTACAAGCGCACACTTGCTAATCTAAGCACATTAGCTTTCCCATCCTACCGGATACCCATTTAACACCTGGGTGGAGAGTGGAAATGTAGATCAATGTCTTGCCAAAGGACATTTAGTGCCGCAGTGGGACTTGAACTGCGGACCTTGAGATGCACAGTCCGGTGACATATCCACTCGTCCACGACACCTCTACTTACCTTGTCAACTATGTTCTGTATTGTGCAAACCATTGATATGAAATGGAATAAATTTGAATCAATCAATCAATCAACAAAAAAAGGATAGAGTAATTTTGAACTTACCGTGTTGATGGTTGAGCCTCCTTTACCAATCACATTCTTGTGGAATTTCTTGAAGATGGGCAGGGAAACCTGGAAGTTGTTCTCTACCTGAAAGAAAAATGATTTTATAACAAGTAACCATTAACATTTATGTAACAGTTACAGTATCATTACAGTACCTTTTACAAAAGTGGTCAACGTCTCTGTACATAGTGATACCTCAAACTATTGCATACATTAAACTTTTGTTCAGTTCAGAAGTTTCCTTCCATGAAGTGACAGAATTACAACACAGAATTGTTGCAATTCAGGAATGCTTTCTGCATCAAAATGGCAGTTATTGACAATTTGTGATAGTTTCAGGACAGTACAAAAACAAACTTTCTTTGGCATTTATCATTCTGATATCAATTATTCATATATAGACATTTATATTATTAATATATGTATCATTTTAAATGATATTTATATTATTAACCCTATGTTAACTGGGGGGGGGGTCAATTTGACCCCCCCCCCCCTGTAGAAATTTCGCGACTACTCCGAAACCGCGGCAGATATAAAAATTTTCTTTCATGACTTTTTACTTTCGAGTCTTACGCATCTTTTAAAACAATTTTTTTGAAAATCGGACCTACGGTTACAAGGTCACGTGACCTTTTGTCTTTGCATGTCAGCCCGAAAATCGCTCATTTTCATGATTTGTGTACAAAACATATGTAAAAGTCATTTTTCCTAAAAATAGATAAAACATTGGTTATTCAGTCTTGTTTAAAGTTTAGATGTTTGTTTTGGGGTCAAAATAGTTGAATTGTAGTTATAAATGAAATAAAACAACTAAAACAATAAAATACATAAGTTAAAAAAACAATGAAATACATAAGAAATTATAAAAACAAGAGATAACATAAGGAATAACCTGGCTCTTCCAATTTTTTGTGTTGCATTATTATTCCAAATGGTCTAATAAATGTATGTTATGAAAAAGAATACGTAAACATGAATAATCTATGATTTATGGGCAAAAATGTGAATTTGATGACCTTATTTGCATAAATTACCATAATTATGCAAATGAGTGAATTTTTCAAAAATTTGAAATTACCATAGTATTCTATACACTTCACTTGACATGCATGCAAATTTTCGCGGCGATCGGCGGTGAAACGGCAGAGATCTTAGGGGGGGGGTCAAATTGACCCCCCCCCCCCCCAGTAAAAACATGGTCTGAAATAGCCCAGTTAAAATAGGGTTAATATATATATCATTTAAAATGATATTTATATTATTAATACATATATCATTTTAAATGATATTTCGACAAGGAATTATATCCTGAGCTGAAGTTGAAAAAGCAATAAAAGATTAGTAAACGTCCAGACTTCCTGATTTCAAGATTTGCGATGACCTGTCTCTTCCTTGATGAGTTCCTTGAGGAAATGATGGCAGAGATCCATTTCCTGACATCTTCCTCGTACCCCCCCCCCCCCAAAGATGTACACTGTAGATTGCTGCAGTACATTGCTGAAGTCCCCTGCTTATGTCCATACTCATTAACAAGTGAGTCGCCAATTATGTCACAGTCTGTGGGTAAAAACAATGGAAGAAATCTACTTCCTTCAACAATACTTTTGAGGAGATTTTTCAATAACGTACCAATTCCTTGGTGAGTTCCTTGAGGAAACGGTGGCACAGATCTACTTCCTGTTTGGGTCCACGAAGGGTCACGACATCACTCTGTTTGCCGTGGTCTGGGAATGTGATTTGAACCTGTCATGGGCAGAGAAGAATATGTCAAGTTAGGTTTAGCATTTTAAGAGTGATGAATCACGATGTTAGTTAATTATTCCAGCCAGCTCTACTTCCTAATTTGCGATGCAAAGTTAAATGCATTTGAGCAGGTTTTCTCAGCATTTTATCTTCCAAATAAATGCTATTACCTTACATACATGTGACAAAAAGCTTCTACTTGCTAGCTAATTCAACAAACTATTTGGAAAATTGAGTGGTCTCTGACACCTTAATTTCAAACAACAAATAAAGTATTGTTTCGACTAAATACCCTAAAAAAAGAACATTGTTACCTCTCACATCTTAAGTTAACAACCTTTCTTTTAGATTGCTCTTCTCCTCTCTTTCTCTCTGTCTTTCAATTTTTTCTTTCAAAAACAGTTTTTTTTTTTCTTCACCATACAGACATGAAAGAGGCATCACAATCAAATTGAATGGGTGGGGGTTTAAGATTCTCACCTGTTTGAATTTATCCCTGATATCTTTGATATATTCTCCTTTGGTTCCGATAATCGTGCGATGGAATCGGTGCTCAATCAGAATGTCTCTGGACTTCTCATTTTCCTGCAAATCAACAAAATAACAATGATACATTTTCTTTAAATAGATTAAGTTTGAATGGCAGTTTATCAGTCCAATATAGAGTTTATAAGAAACACAAAACCTTTGACAGAGTTGTAATATAGTTCACCAAAATTGATGAAGCACAGATCAATTTAATAACTTTAAAAAACAATATAACATCACAGAAAATAATTCTTAGATTTATAAAGCACAACTTTTTCCTATATTGGCATCAAAGGCACAAAACAATTGAAAATTTGATTAGTATAAAATTTATACAATTAAGAAAAACTTTGTTTATGAGCGACTTCAGTATTTAAGAATGAGATAGTCTTTATCTTTAAAAGATGTTAATTTCACATAAACTCCACACCAAGCAAGAGGTTTCTTACCAATCTCTGGGCGATCTCGAGCAGCTCCTTCTTGGCTTGCTGAATGCCTTCTGGACTTCCCTCAATCCTGATGTTACTACTCTTCTCTTCATCGGGAGGAATGCGGATAGACACACCGGTATCCTTCTTGATACGAGTGACTGATTCAAGAAAAGACATTTAAAAAAATTGAATTTAAAGGCCCACTGCACTACTTGTAGCTACTTGCGCCCTCTATATAACAAACAATGCCTAATTGGTGACCATTGGTTCCCCCATGATCCTCTTTTTCTTATGTTAACTGAGAGCTGAGTTGATGAGATAACCACCTGCCCAGTGACCTTGGAGTGTGGTCTAAACCCTCCTTTAAACTAGTACTGATAAGGTTTAAAGATAATTGGTTTTGGTGAAGTTTTCTTAGGTATTCAATTCACATTTATGCGGCAAAAGATAAAAATCAAAATGAAATCATTATAAATACCTGGGGGGTGTTTCATAAAGAGTTCGTAAAGTTACGCATGACTTTACGAACGACTTGTATATGAAGCCAAATGGGATGCTCAATCATTATTGATTTTTATTTATTAAGTTGAACTGTGCAGATGTAGATTAACATTCTTATTATAACAAACATTTTTAATGCAAAGTATATTTTTTGCCATAATTTAGTTGAGGTTATTGGAAAAATCAGAAAAAAATTTGAGCATCCTATCTGGCACTTCATACATGTATACAAGTCGTTTGTAAATTCATGCGTAACTTTACGAACTCTTTATGAAACAACCCCCAGGATTGCTAAAATAAGTTGAAAACTTGTAAACAAGCAACCCCAAACATAAGAACATACAGATACAATACAATATGATGAAATACGATACAATACATTACAATATTAATAATGTAAGATATTAACTCAATAACTCAACATTAACTCAATAAGTGGCAAGTATTGTTCTTTTCAGCTTAAGTTTAAAAGCGCTGTGGTTCTTAACACCCTTAAATGGCTTAACATGGATATAGTTTGGCAGGTTACACTTTCCGGGTTATACTTTGGCCTCCACTGTCTTCGATTAAGATGATTATTAGAATTTTGAGATCAAAGTGTAATTAACATTGTGTGTGCTTAAATGCATACAATTTTAGCAGTGTAATCACAATTTGAATAGTGTAATCACACTACTGTTCATGCTTTACTCCAATTAACATATACATTTGTATGATTTTAAAGATAAACTTGAGTTCTGGTAAAAAAAAAAGAAAATGAATTCTCACAGAATCTAACGAAACTTACACTGAATGTTCAAGATTACAAATAAATGTCATGTGCCAAATAATTTTGAAAGAAAATGTATACTGGCTGAGTAATGAGCATAGAAAGATAAGGAAATCAGGGTAGTACTAGCCCCAACACCATGTGTGTTGTCCCATATACATCTTTCTGTGTAAGTGATTGTTACTTTACCAAGACTCTGCCAAATTTATGATGATTTTGATGACTCCAGAACCTTGCATTACACACCATAACTTACATGCCATATGATCAACTTTTCTGATCCATTCCACACCTTTTCTTTCACAATGCAATAGCATTACCAGAACTCAAGTTTATCTTTAATATCAGAGATGCCCTGCTCAAAAAATTAATTCATCTTTATATTGGATGAATATTAGCTGGCCAACAATGCAACCCACAAGATTTGTTGCTATCATGTATGACTTACTATTTGCACCAGCCTTCCCGATGATGTGCTTGTGATATTTAGGATCAATGCTGATGTCTACAAACGAGAGGCGGTTCTGGAGATCGCGAGAGATTTCTTCGAGCGCTGAACGCGCTTTCTCAACTTCGTCTGGCGGTCCTTCGATGACGATGACGTCACGTCCTTCCTTGAATTCCACATGGACCTATAACCAAGAACAAACATGTAGCAGTATTGTAATTAAAGGTTAAGACCAGTTTTGGAAACGCCCCCTCTCAAAAAATGAAATGGAAGCTGTTACTACCAATCATGTGAAAGAATATGTTTTGACTAATACGTGATCATACAAATTTGCAGAGAAACCACCTACTAATTGATATATTTGGTAAATTATTATATCTATTTGGACCTGATAGATATCGCGCACGTGTCGCGTAGTCCCATATACATATGGGGTATTCAGTTTTAAATGGAGTTGTTTTTTAATCATTGCTGCCTATAAAAATTCAATCAAACTTCCCAATATGTTTTTTTTATAAATTATAAATCAACTCATATTTTCAGTAACTTTTCAACTAACTGTGAGCCGTGAATGATACTGACCTTGGGTAGGTTTTGTGTGATGTTCTTGACGTTCTTTCCTTGTCGTCCAATGATGAATCGATGAAGCCAGGCTGGGGCATGTACTTCCTCCATCTTAATGCTGTTAGCCTGTACAAACACACACACAAATAGAGATGTATTAGTATACATAGTAAGAATTACCCACACAAGGTACCTTTGGAACAGTCTAACACGCCCGAGGCGATAGCCGAGGGTGTTTGGACTGTTTTGAAGGTACCGAGTGTTGGTAATTTTCCTAATTCCCGAACAAAATGATATGTATTATTTGTTTTATAAGACTATGTTTTTTATTTGTTTTAGGAAATGATGTTTTATAGCATGATTTTACTAATGACCGGTCATTAGCATTTGTGTACGCTCTCAACCAATCATTTGATTAGGATCCACGTCATCATCTTATAATAAGGTTTCTCCTACCTCTTACTTTCAACACAGAAATTTAAGCAAGCATATATCATGTGCAAACTTTGAGATTCACAAAAACTTTATTCCTTGAACTATTCAAATACAAACATTAATTTTTTGCCATTTGCAAAGGATTTTCTTGCTACAAAATTGTCCATCATTGACATCTCCTTTAAGTTTCTGCCTTCAAAGTATATTCATGAACATGTAGAAGGCAGATTGACAGGTTGTGTGCAAAGTCAAAACTCTCAGTTCCTGACTGACCTAAAGGTTTATAATTATCATTGCAGCATGAGCTAAATCAAGGATTATTTCTAAAGGATCTAAGACAAAGTTACCGGATCCCTTTAAATCATTCCATTCTTATCATTAACACATGATTCTATGTACACTGTAGTTTAGATATTCTAAACAACAACCAAACACTCCCCCAAATCAAATAATTCTGTGTCACATCCAAAATAAATGTAATTATTATGAAAGCAATCCGGATTTCATCAACATGTTACAAAAATTATGTTTGTCATTATTTTGAGGGATCCACATTTTACAAGCTCTGCTTTTCAGTGGATCCATCCATTTCCACAGGTTTATCTTTAAAAAACTTTTTAAAAACCATTATACTGGATATTTATGTATACTTTCTATATCATAACTTTAAACCATGTGTATTATATTATTGAATGTTGAATTGTATAGCTGATTTCTTGTCAAAATTACTGTTCTATTGGAAATGAAAAATAAAACTGAAACTGAAAATGAAAACTAAAACATTTGTGAAATTGACCCCTGACCTTTGATAGGTCGCACCTTACCTTGGCATAGACTTGTGTGATAGCTGGTCCCAGCTGGGCCTGTTCACCGCGCAGGGTGATGGTCTCGGAGGGGCTGTCTGCTGGAGGGACTTCCACAGACACTCCGGTCTCTTTCAAGATATCGGCGAGGTTGGAACCACGGGGGCCGATCACGTAACGGTGCTGGGACTTGCGCACCTCCAGGGAGACAGTGGTGGTCTTCAGTTTCTGAGAAGAGAGAAGTAAATTGGTGGAATTCAATTTCAATCTTTTTTTCCAATGAATTATATATGAAATCTGTACTAGTTGCTCAAGCACCAAAATGGTAGGAATTGAATCAAATGTTTCACCTTTGAGTGGATAGAAACATACAACCTTCTTCAGTCATCTACAAACATGATGTTCATTCATTGGAAAAACACTGTCAAAGCACTCTTTCAGAATATTAGAAAACTGTTTAACTGTTTTGTTTAATGGGCGCTTCATTTAAAGGCCCACTGCACTACTTGTAGCTACTTGTGCCCTCTATATAGCAAACACTGCATTATCGGTGCATGTTGGTCCCCCATGATCCCCTTTTTCTTATGCTAATTGAGAGCTGATTTAATGAGATAACTCCCTGTCAGTGACCTCGCAGGGAGGTCTACTCCTCCTGGCCAAACTAGTGCAAACATGTTTTAAATATTTGGAAAGTATCCTAAAAAAAAACTTTTTAAAATGGAAGCCTTCCATTTTGAATAGTCACTAACCATGGAAATCAACAATGAACAACTAAATATAAGTTACCTTCTCTTCATAGGTCCTGAGGATGACAGCCTTGGCTTCATGCACACCTTCCTTCTCGCCAGCCACTACGATCTCATCCTTCCTGGCACTAAGGGGTGGCACGCTGATCTTAGCTCCGGTCCTGGCCGATAGCTCCTTGGTAAAACAGTTCTCTGGTCCACAGATGAAGGGGTGGTACTTGTAGGGAACAATCAAGCGCTCAAATGCTCTCTTGGCCTGTTAAGGATAGAGGAACAAGAGAGAAAGGGGGGTTGTGATTCTGTGCCTCTTCTTCTTGTTCATAAATAAAGAAGTAGATGCTTGTATTGTTGCAATGCTTGAAATAATAATGTTTACCGTTTGCTCACAACACTATCTTCGATCCACTTGTAACACTACCTCTATGCACCAGCTTTGATTTACTACCACATCATAATCATTGTCATATTCATTATCAATATCATCATCACCACAAACCATCACCATCACAAACTACCACCAATTCAACATCAACATCACCATCACAAGCCACCACCAATTCAACAACAACATCATCATAATCATTATCACCACCACTAAAACCACCTTAGTCAACAACACCATCATCACCATCGCTATCGACCTCATCATCATCGCCATCACCCTCCTCCCTACCTACCTGTTCATCTGAAATGAGTTGTAGTTCATGCTTGGCCTGATCGATGCCCTCCTTGGGTCCAAGGATCCTGATCATATCAGAGTTCTCTTCACTGTTTGGGATGGTGATCTTGGTCATGGTGGCTTGTTCCAGTTCTTTCAGTTTCTTGCCTTCCTTCCCGATGACAAAACGATGATGTTCCTTAGGGATCTGGACTGTGATGTTTGCCTACAAGGAAAATATTAAGTAGAATTGATGATTTATGAACACATCACATTCTCAATTCATGCAACATAATCCATACACGTACAACCAATATAATCATGACCTTAGCAAATTCACAAATTCCCCCTTGCTCACTTGCTCACCTCTAAATGTTCACTTGATCATTTTTATTGGGAACATTCTACATGTACATGTATCATTCCACAGTAAGAATGAATGGCAAGTACAGACCTGCCAACCTCTGGAGTTCAAAAACTGCATTCTTTAATCCCAAAAGTTGTATTTTACTGACAAAATTTGTATTCTTAAAAATAAACACGGACTATCACGCGGATCAATGCCTCTTACAGTTCCTGCATACCTGAAGAAATTTTGTTATGGATCATTGGTTGAATATGCATGATTTTGTTCCGACTGTTGTGTTCGATGAACCAATGAACATCCCCAAATTGCCGATGAAAGGTACTTTACAGGACAGAATGGGCATTTTGCCATTGAAAATGGCACACAAACACACATTTAAATTTAATAAAAAATAAAAAATCATAAACATAAAAATAAAAAATCGTTTTTTTGTGAGTTTTATTTTTAAATTGTATTTTATTGAGGAAAATCGTACTGTCGTATTTGCTTCTAAAAATCGTACTAAATCGTACTGGTTGGCAGGTCTGCAAGTATACATGGACATACGATCACAATGTAATAAATTACTGAGAGCAATAATGACTTTAAGTGAGGATACATGTATTAGAACGTCTTACTGTGATCTTTGAAACCTACAGAAAAATCATGAAAAAAATTCCAAGGCTCATCAATGACTGGTACACATGAGCTCCCCACACTGGACCCCTTATTCTAAAGATAAAGTTGAGTTCTGGTCATGCGATTGCATTGTGAAAGAAACATTGTGGAATCAATCATCTAGCATATAAGTATTGGTGTGTACTGCAAGGTTCTGGAATCATCAAAATGATAAGAAATGTGGCCCAGTCTTGGTACAGTTACAAGCACTGTACACAAAAAGATGTATATGGGACTACACGAACATGTGGCATATAAATCCATCCCGATTTTTATGTAACATGCCATAATTAGAATATTAAGGCATTTGAAAAGCCCTGCTTTTCAGGGAACATTTTTTTGTCTGATGTTCTTCCACACTTGCATAATTCAATGATAATGCTCACAAATTATTTTTCACCTCTTCCCAAAACTCAACCTTCTCTTTAAAGGGGCCAATCGTACACACCCTAAAGATACTCATCCGGACACCCACATGAAAAAAAACATGAATGAAGAAACCTGCAAAATAGTATAATTAAACTGACCTGGGTTTGTAGTTTGTTCATGACTTCTCTCCTGGCCTTGATGACCGCTTCCTCCTTACCGGTCACTACAATGGTCAAACTCTGGTCTTTGGCAAGACTCATCTCAATGCTGGCATCTGAAGTACAAATCAATCACAGTCATAGTCAAACATGGACATGGACATTAACTTCTACAATATTATGTACATGTTATTTAGAACAATAACAAATGAGTCACTCACAGGTACAAATATTTGTACAGATAGAACATGTTTTGCTTCAAAAGACAAAGTACTGTGGTGAATTATGAAATACTGTTAACACTGATGAAGAAGTGAGAAATAAAGTGCTTAACCATGAGATGAATTTAATCAAGTATTACTGTACATACCTGTTTTCTTCATGATATCTGTGCATATCTTGCTGGATTGACTACCTGTTTCTCCAAAACCTTGGTTCATTTCTTTGTAGCGACGTTCCTCTAAAGGCACATGGAACACCTGCAATGTAAAGGGATGTAAACAAAGATGGAATCTTGAGGAACAAACTCTATTGATGTTCAAAAAACATCAATGCACTGAAATTTTGCAATTTTTTAATTTCATGCCAAACAAATCAGCAATCATCATCAATTCTTTAAGTTTCCCTTATTAAAAATTCTTATTTTACAGTCAGTAAAATGAAAGTAAAACTATCAAAGAAATAAAAGCACAAATACATATGTGGGGCTAAAAATCTTATGGAAATGATTACGATTTTTGTGGACTTGAGACCAACTTATAACCCTTATCAGGAAATAATAATTAACTAAATGGATGCAATTCAATATACAGCATTCAGAAATTTCTATCAGTTGTGAAATGCACTTTTTGAGGTCAATTTAATATTGCCATCAATTATTGTATAAGTTACAAAACTTATAGATTGCAACTGCTCAAATTTTATATCAACTTCTTATTCTTATTCTTCTGTTGAATTACCGGCCACCATGTTGTCGGTGTATCTTCGTACTTTCAAAGTTGTGCAGATACAGGTATATGTATAGTGCTGTGGAAGATCTAATCTATGTGCTCATATTCAATCAACTGCTTTATTTTTAAATAATAATAATAATACATAACATTTATTAGGCGCTTAATACTGATGTTTCTAAGCGCACAGTGTTCTGATTAAGAGAAGACTATAACCCGTAGAATTAAATTAGAAGAAAAAGCAAAAATACAAAAGTAACATAGATAAGGTAAGAAAAACAGTGGCAATCAACTAAATAAAGACAAATATGGTGCGCACCTCCATTGACCGACGCACAACTGCAATTTACAATTTGCAAAGATAGGTTTTGAGTAGAGATTTGAATTGAGATACAGAGGGGGCGCAGTGAATAAAGGCGGGCAGTTTGTTCCAGAGAGCGGGGGCAATAACTGAAAAGGCGCGGTCACCATACCGGGTGTTAGTGCGGGGTCCAGGTGTTAACAGTAATGTGGAAGATGAACGAAGTGTTCGTGACGACGTATGGGAACGTAAGGATATGAGATCGGAAAGGTAAGAGGGGGCTAAGCCATTGATAGCTTTGTAGCACAGGAGAAGAATTTTGAAGGATATGCGGTGGTGAATTTTAAGCCAATGTAGTGAGTTCAATATTGGAGTTATGTGCTCTGATTTAAAGAAGCTTAATTAGATACCAGTTTTATGGATGACTAATATTGCACTGATGAGTAAAAGGAGATGGTGAGTCTCACACTATGAACATGACAGACAAAGAAAGAGGACAAAATATACAGTTCCTCATTCTACCCTCAACAATTGCTGTGGTAGACAAAGGAACACCTCTTTACTGCTATTAGGTAAAAATGTGTAATAAGGTGAATATGCATGTGACACCTGTTCTACACATTTTTACATAATAGCAGTGAAGGGATGTTCCTTTGTCTACCACAGCAATTGTTGAGGGTAGAATGAGGAACTGTATATTTTGTCCTCAGCTCTTTCTTTGTAAGTCATGTTCATAGTGATTGCACTGACGAGTAGAAGATGATGGAGAGTGTGACTGACCTGAGTTACAACGGAAGACTTGACTGCCATTCTGGCATAGGACGGCCCGCGTCCACTTTGGCCTCGCTTAGGCCCGCCACCCATGGGGGCGCTCTCCATCGGAGGAAAGGCGTCATCGTAGGTGGGAGGTTCGTACGCTTCTTCTTCAATGTTGACGCCATTGGGGTCAACGGCCGGAGCCGGGGTACTGCCACCAGGCAGAAGTTGAGGATCCGTACTCATGGTCTAGGGTCGTGATCAAGGTCAGACAGCACCACTGAAAATTGAAACAAACGTCATTAATAAGAGCATTTTCACTTTAAATATTCTTTTAAAGTTGCTTCTACGCATCATTTATTAAAGTCGGCATTATCCCTCTTTACGAGGGGTTACTGACTTTGGTGGCATGATAATAATAGGCGTTTGTATTGCGCCATCAGTTTAAAACATCAATGCAGACTGCAGAGGCGTACAAGGAAAAATATATAAGAAAGGAAAAATATATAAGAAATAAAAGTCAGAATAAGTGCCAAATTCTTATGACAAGCATTACTAAAAACTAAAGGGTAGGATTTCAACTTCGACTTTAAAATCTTGACTGATGTTGTACTTTTCAACTCCAAAGGTAAATTGTTCTACAGAACAGGTACTGCGGCCGAGAAAGCCATGTTGTAAACTATTTAGTTTACACATTTGGAGATGGAATTTATCTCGAAATTAATACGTGTCTGAAAACTAGAGAATATACCTCTGACTATGACTTGCCTGCCGTGACAGCTTACAAAGATTTTTCCAAAATGAAAATATTCAAACATGAAAAATAAGAATATTAATAGTGAACTAAAGTGCCATGACTGTCAAAATATTGCTGAAGAAGAAGAAACAGGAAGAGAAGAAGAAGAAGAAACAGGAAGAGGAGAAGGAGGAAAAGGAGAAGGAGGAGAAAGAGAAGAAGGAGAAGAAGAAGAAGAAAGAAAAAAGGAGAAAGAGAAAAAAGGAGAAAGAGAAAAAAGGAGAAAGAGAAAAAAGGAAAAAGAGAAAAAAGGAGGAGAAGAAAGGAGAAGGAGAAAAAAGGAGAAGTAGGAAAAAGGAGGAGAACGAAAAAGAAAAGGGGAAAGAGAAAGAAAAGGGGAAAGAGAAAGAAAAGGGGAAAGAGAAAGAAAAGGGGAAAGAGAAAGAAAAGGGGAAAGAGAAAGAAAAGGAGAAAGAAAAGGGGAAAGAAAAAGAAAAGGGGAAAGAGAAAGAAGGGGAAGGAGAAAGAGGAAGAGGAGAAGGAGGAGAAAGAAAGAGAAGCAGAAAAGGAGGAGAAGAGAAGCAAAAGAAGAAAAAAGGAAGAAGAAAAGAAGAAAAAAGGAAGAAGAAAAGAAGAAAAAAGGAAGAAGAAAAGAAGAAAAAGGAGAAAGAAGAAAAGAAGAACAAGGAGAAGAAGAAGAAGGAGAAAGGAGAAGGAGAATAAGAAGAAGGAGAAAGGAGAAGAAGAAGGAGAAAGGGGAAGAAGAAGAAGAAGGAGAAAGGAGAAAGAAGGAGGAGGATCGGAAGAAGAAAAAAATAAATTGAATCTATAGTTCTACACACAGCAGGCTTGTTTGATTTTCAGCAATTTCTAGTCAAGACTAAATATTAAAACAAATTGTGATCACACTGCAAGTAGATCTAAAATAAATAAAAATTCAATAAATAAACAATCAGTCATCTACTAAGGTTGCATCTACTACTATTTCTACACAACACACGACCATGATAAATCTGTGACTGTCTTTACGAGCCAAAAAATGATCTTGTTCCTCAACTTCAATTTCTTTTTGCACAATTTTTTTGGGGCATAATTTGTAGATCGAGGTCAAGAGACTCGAGGGAGTTAATTTAAGTGAGAATAGGTCTACTCTGACTCTATTACCATATGAAGGATAACATTAATACTAATATAGACTACTTACTGTGAATAATTCATTGAAATTAAACAATTTAACTAGTTCAGGTTCATTCACTCAGTCTCACAAGACATTCACAAACACACCCATCACAGACTCGGATTTCAGCAATTTTATAAATTCTGCATTTGAGTTATAAATCAGATTGTGGCTATGAAATCCTACAATGTTACTTAAGATTGTTCATATTAAATCATTTGTACAAATTAGACAATTTTTCAATAAAAAGCCAATGAAGAAGTCCACTCCAATTTGTTAAGATGTTTCTGAAAATGTGTCAACGTGTCAAATCTTTTGCTGGCATCGCAGCTAGCGCAGTGCTATATCGCGGCCGTGGCTGTGGAGGCTGCGTTGCGCACACTGCACCCGGTCGACTCGACTCACGTCAACACGCAATAAATGAATAAGATGACAAATCTGGAGGATGAAAACTCGTAAAATACTGGATAACTTACACTGAAGTGGTCACTGTTTGCCGGGTTATCCGTCCTAGTGTGGATTTCTTCCTTTTGGTTGCGCCACTTTCTGTTATTTTCAGTTTTCACTGAAAATATAAAAAGTTTCTTTCCCTGAATGAGATAGACGTCGCAGCTTGTGCACGTACAAGGAAAGCAACTGCCTACGTACGCAGCGGAAGTAGGAAAATGACCTCTCTGCCAACTCCACAAGGATTTTCTGTGTCAAGATGTTTCATTGGCCAATAGTTGACACATCGCTAAATTCTATCCAATGATTTAACGTCTTATGAAATCCCTATATGCACCTGTCTTGATGAGCCGATTGGTGAGAGATAATGAGAGAGCTATTATCATGTAATGATTGTAATCATTGTACAAGTTCAAACAAATCATTTACAGCAATTAATGAGCAAAATTAATCGGTTTTGTCGCATAAAAGACTGGCATAATAGTAGATAATGAGTACAACAAGTGGAGCAGATCTCGTTTTCATCGAAATATATCTACATAGTACATATCATGTTATACTTGGTGTAACTTGAAGAATATTCCGAATATTTCAGATGCAAAAGCCAAAGATCATATTTCAACATATTAATTATTGCAATATTCTGTTCATCACAAACCTTATGAAACTTGAGTACACAAAATAGAACGCACACACACTGTCACACACACACACACACACGTTTTATCAATATGAGAGGAAAAGAGTGGTTAAGTCATAGAGATCAATATATAGATCTTAGTATACCGATATTATATAACTCATCTCTCCCTCTCTTTCTCCCTGCCCCGCCCCTTTTTTCCTTCTCTCTCTTTCTCTCTCTCTCTCACTCTCTCTTTCTCTCTCTCTCTCTCTCTCTCTCTATCTCTCTCTCTCTCTCCTTCCCCTCCCCTCCCCTTTCTTTCTGTCTGTCATTCTTCCATAAAATGTTTAAATGCTTTTTTTCAGGATTGGCTAATACCATTTTATATCCAGCAATAGGCCTACTAAGTTCATGAAGATCGAGATTTGAGAAAAATGATCAAATGTCTGATAAAAAGTAAAAACCAGTGCGAATAAAAGCAAAATTCGTTCATAAAGTTTTTAAAAAACTCCTGAAAATATGGTGTTATTCTTTGCCCCCACGGCCTAGTCTAGTTCGCTCCCCCCCCCCCTCCCCCCTCCCCCCCCCCTATTATCAACAAAAGTGTAGGCTACTGAGGTACAGCTGTTGGGAAAAACGCGTACCAGAGTCGGCCCTCCCGGGGGGGGGGGGGCAGGGGGGGCACAGTGCCCCCCACTTTTTCAGATACCCCAAAAGTGCCCCTTTTTACATAGGAAAAGTGCCCCTTTTATTTTGTAAGAAGTGCCCTTTTTACATAGGAAAGGTGCCCCTTTTACTTTGACAAGTGCCCCTATTACTTAGTAAAAGTGCCCCTTCCCCTTTTTCACCTCTGACGAGTGCCCTTTTTATTTTTGACACGCGCCCCTTTTCCTTCGACATCATGTTCCCATTTTCCTTTGCAATAAATGTCCATTTTCCATTCTCATAAATCTTGAAATTATCTTGAATAAATTTTTAATCTCTAGTAAGTGCCTCTTTTCAGGTACGAGAAGTGCCCCTTTTCACTTTTAATAAGTGCCCCCTTCACCTCTGATAATTGCCCTATTCAAAACTGAGAGGTGCTCCTTTTACTTTGACAGCTTCTCCTTTTTTCCTTTGTTAGAAGTGCCACTTCTCCTTTTAATAACTACCCCTTTTTAAAACTCGGATGAGCACACCTTTCATTTTAACATGTGCCCCTCTTATTTCTAATAAGTGCCCTTTTTCCTTATGATAAGTACCCCCCATAAAAAAGAGAGAGCTCCCTCCCCTTCTCATAACTACCCCTTTCCCTTTCTAATAAGTGCCCCTTTTCCTTATGATAAGTGCTCCCATTTAAAAGAAAGAGCTCCTTCCCCTTCTCATAACTGCCCCTTTTAAAAATCTGAACGGTGCCCCCTTTTCATTCAACAAATTATTATAAGTGCCCCTTTTCATATCTGGTCAGTGCCCCTTTTCAACTCTGATAATTCCCCTTTTAATAATGATACGTGCCCATTTTACTTTCTAATAAGGGACCTATCCCCTTTTCACCTCTTATAAATGCCCCTATCAAAATCTGATGGGTGCCCCTTTTCCGTCAACAAATACCTATTTCCCATTTTCGTAAACGCCTCTTTTTCATCACTGGTGAGTGCCTCTTTTCAGGTAAAAAAAAAAAAGCCTCATTTTCACCTCCTATAATAATCCTTAGTACTTTGACACGTGCTCCTTTTCTTTTCTAATAAGTGTCTTATCCCTTTCGATAATTGTCCCCTTTTCATGTAATCATTAAACGTGCCCCTTATTTAAAGCGACTAAGAGCAATTTCCCCCAAAGTTCGCTCGCATTTAAAGATGATATAATTATGTTACTTATCAAAGGTCTTTTCAGTCTTCCGTTATGAGAATGTGCTTATAACCCCATCACGATTGGCTTTTTTCCTCTTTATAAGATGTAATTTTTCGCACTGCGACCTCACAGATCTTTAAAATTTTTCTCGCTCGCTTCGCTCGCTCGTAAATGCATATTCAGACATTACACCCAACTGTAAAGTATGATGCTTAAGCGATATACATGTATGAAGAGAAACAAATATTGAAATCATCCCTGATAATGTAATCACAATGTAGGGGTATATACCAATGTCTAACAAATTGTATATTTTCGCTTCGAGATTTCCCACTGTAGGTGCCCCTTTTTTCCAGAAAGTGCCCTTTTTTGGTGGTGCCCCCCCCCCCACTTTGGAAGTCGCTCGGCCGCCTCTGACGCGTATCATACACTCTCATGAGGAGTAAACCATGAACGATCCTATATTTAAACAAAAACATACTAATTAGTACTCCACTATTTCATTTCCACAATCAAAGACAGCATAATTATAAGCTTTTCGTTTTACAAAAGTCATTCCCATTGAAATATTAATAAACAAGAAATATACATAATATGGTACGTGCAATGCAGTAAAAGTATACAATTGAGACTAAGAACTTTAAGAAGATAATATCAATTGCTCGCTGTATTGCGAAGGAAACCTAGGCAAGCCTAATTTTGGTTCCTTAACATAAAATATCATATTATCATAAAGTAGAACATGCAAAGAAAAGAAATGAGGGGGGAAACGGGACAAATTAATACAAAACATGACAAGACAAGCAAAAACAACACAAGCACCAGAACGGGACGCGTTATTTTTTCGGCGGCACAGATTGGGGTTAGGTGCGTGTTGAGCCTATGGGAAATTTTACTGGGTTAGGGTTAGGGTTAAATCAAGACCTCTTTTTTTTTTTTAAAGCCCCAATCTGTGCCGCAGGAAAAAAATGACGCGAACGGGACACTGTCGCTTGCATTCTGCAGCTATCATGCACTAAAATCATTGCGCGACATTGGTTGCTATATAAATCAGATTCCAAGGGAAAGTGTGTATTATAAACATGAATATAAATGGCATGCATTTGAGCAAATGAGTATAAAGTTACATGGCTTTTTCCTTCTAAATGTTAACGAGCTTTAACTTCAGGTTACATTTAAATGAAAACAGACATGTGTTTGAAAGACTCACCAAGAGAATTCCAAAAGATCATCGGGGTTTCTGTTTTAATTACAAAGAGTTCTTAACCCGGACATTTTGGGAACACGCATGCGACCCCTCCGAGCCTCCGGAGTGGGGTGGGGGGGGGGGGGCGGGGTTCTTATTGAACATTGGAATACGGTAATAAGAACTTAAGAAAATGTCTCGTTTGTTAATTGTGGAGTCTCTCATTTTATTAAATAACAAAGTTAATGCATGAGGCAACTCGCCCAGATTCAGTTGATACATATTTCATAATACAACTATAAATTGGTCCTTCGTGGTCTTTTTGTCATCTGTTTGCCGACGTGCAGACAATCAGACATAAGGCCCCCCCAAAAAAAAAAAACATGTTTAGCGTCCTTTTTTTTTCTCGAAAAATAGGAAGGAGGAGCCCCCCTTTTTTTTTCTTCAAAATGGCCGCTCAAAATGGCCGCTCGGCAAAGTGGCCGCTCAAAATGGCCGCTCGGTACATTTTCCCTAACAGTCGAGCTATTTTTTCAAGCTGGCCGCTGACTTTTTTATTATTTTATTTTTAGATCAGAAATAGATTCATTTTAGCAGTGTTTTTCATGTTTTTTTCCTTAAAAAAAAAAAAAATAGGAGGCGCCCCCAAAAAGGAAGCGGGCGGGGACGCTAAACATGTACCGGTATATATATTTTTTTTAATGGCCTAACATGTTTATCGCCATTTAAGGAAGGAACACGGTCCGTCGATCATCCAACAACTAAATACGCCTTCGATATCTTCAAATAAAATAGTTCCAAGTCCCAACTAATTTACCCCCAATTTGCCTACTTAATTAGCATATCGTTCTTTTCTCATGCATGGTCTTTCTATATTATGTTGTTAGACTTAGTACTCCAAATCCACGCACATATTTTCTCGAATCAATATTACTGTGTTAATGGGTAGATGAGGTGCTGGGACGGTGGCGGATCAAGAATTTTCTGGCGGGGAAGGGGGGGGGGGAGGGACATAACTCCCCAAATTATCTGAAAGTTAATCGGCACATTGCCTTTTTATACTCAGTGTTTATTTACGGTATGCCACATTTGAGTTTTGCCGATGGGGAGGGGGGGGGCGTACATAAGGCCCTGTGCCTCATTTGGATAAATGCTTTTTTTTCTGTCTTCTTCTCTTTTCTTCAGAGGTACACAAGACGAGCTTTCATTGTCGGACAGAGAGAGAGAGAGAGAGAGAGAGAGAGAGCGAGAGAGACAGACAGGGTTGGCTCAAAGATGTTTACTTGACTTGAGGGCGTGGCACAGGTTAGAGGGTGTGTCACCTTTGTTGACTAGGTACGCATTGTATAGTAGAGTCTGTTTAGTAAAATGTACTGGTACGGTATAAACAAAGAGTTAGAGAGGGGGGGGGGGGGAGGGGTAGGCCGAGAGCAGGTGGGGTGTAACATTTGATTTTTCTTTCCATTGTAAAGGTATTACAAAGTTTTGGTATGGGGTCATGAATTTAGTTCAAATGAACACAGTGGAAGCATATACTATCCTACAATATTCAGTGATCGTTGTCGCGGTTGAAATCGAGTCTAAAGTCATGAAATTGTAAATAATTAACTTTTTATGTTGCATAGCTCCCTCTCAAGGTCAATATATTAATTAAGCTATAAAACAATGTTTCTTGACTAAAATCAACCGATTAGCTATTCCGGTTGGAAATTATATACCACAACTACATATTCTGAGATTTTGGTCGCATCTACCATTGTACGGCCGTAGGCGCTATTTGAAATTTATCAAAATTTACCGGGAGCACCGGCAAATTTTTATATCCAATTTTTCTCAAAAACAGAAATGTTTTAGGGGCTAAATGTTATAGTGCTTACAATAATGATAATAATAATAATAATAATAATAATAATAATAATAATAATAATAATAATAAATTTATATAGCGCAGCTTTTATACAAAATATATTCAGCTGCGCTGGTTAAGAGCTCCTTTTTACTCAATTCTACAAAATAAGATCACTCAGTTGAACAAATAAGTTTTTAAATTGGATTTAAAAATATTGAGAGATGGAGTGCTTCTTATTTCTATTGGCAAGCTATTCCATAGTTTGGGGGAAGCAATAGCAAAAGCACGGCCCCCAAGAGTTACTTTAGTTTTGCCATGGGGAATCTGAAACAATAATTTATCTGTGGAACTGCGCAGGCTACGACTGTGTGAATGGACTTTGAGTTGAAGTAATTCTTTGATGTAGATCCACATGGGCATCCAAATATATCAAAATTATAAAGAACTACGTACTATCCACCCAATTTTTAAAATTTCCCAAAACTTTGTATTACCTTTAATCTTATTCTGATAGTGGTTTGCTTGTTCCGTGGATATCTGGGCCCATATTCATAGCGGGAAAGGCTCTTAGTAAGGTTTTATGAATACCGATTTTGTTGGAAACTCGACATTAAAGCCTTCCAGTGCTGCATACATAATTATACAAGTAAACTATTCAGACTTAGGATCTTAATTTTCATGTTTTCCTCCCACGTCTACTTCACCAGTAGGCACACAATGGCTATAGTTCCTAACCGGCTATAGTTGCGCGAGTTGGCTTCTCCATAGTTATTAACTAGGGGGTTTTAGATGGCAACTATACCTTTTAAGGTATGAATATTGGCCCCGATCTATTATAGGTCACCACACGTCGTCATCATCATCATCACCTCTCTTTCTTTCAATCTCTCTTTCTCTCTCTCTCTCTCTCTCTCTCTCTCTCTCTCTCTCTCCATCAAGCTCTTTATCTACCACCCTTTCTGCTCAATTAATAGATTCAGGTCCATTCAATACCACCACAATGTTTTTCTTGGTATCTACCCTTCCAATGGTCTGAAGGGTGATCTTGTAGACTACAAGCATTGTGTTTTCAAGAAAAAGAGTGAAATGAGACATTGAAGAAAATAGTGATCATACGAAAACAAGAAAACAAGTTGACATAGATCTAAAACCTTTCTGTTTTACAAGATGCCTCTATTTAATTTCATACAGAAATAAATACACACGATACAACGGACAAATTTAACAAGGCAGCATAGCTTTCATTAAGCACACTGAGTGCATAACATCTCTTTGTTAAATTACCTGAATTAATTTCCTACATAGAATAGGACAGATTGAGATGAGAGGGCAAACCCTATCCCAATGTAAGGTAGTATTCAACAGTTTAAGGGCAATTACATGAGAAAGAAAAATCTTAAGTTCTTAGGTATGAAATCATACACAGGTTGACATCCCCCCCCCCAAAAAAAAACAACAACAAACAAACAAACTTACAATTAAAGATGATTTGGAATTTTCAAAGAAATGTACTCTGAAGGCAAATTATTTTGGAAACACTAAACGGAAATCTGTTTGTCTCAAAATTTCCAATTATCTGTTCTAAACTAGATGTATGAACAAGTCAACCACTTTATTTTGTGACTCATAAGCGTTAAATTGAACTTTCAAATAGAACTCTGTATTACTTAAGGGCAAAAATGAACATAACAAATTCTTCATCATCATGATTTACTCCTCATGCTACGGTCACAAAGCATTGTACAAAAGATAATTTTGTATGAATCTTCGTTTTTCCATTGTCTTCCCGAATTTCCATTGTCTGAAAATTGTTCGTACGGCGTTCGTAGCCGTTCCTAATGGTATTTGTGACTGAGGCTTTACACAAAACAAACAAGATTTTAAATTCAAACATTTCTCTGATAACAGAATACTTTTTTCTATGAAGGAGGGAATGATATACACTAGGACTTTATTGACTCATTTCTTTAAACAGATGTTGCTGTTTACATTAATAAAGATTTGATCATTAGTAGGTAAGGAATGATTCATGAATTAACATATATTCTTTCATAAAATTTACATGATTTCAGAAGCCATAAGCAAGTAATTATTATAACTTAACAAGTATTGTTCTCTTTTTAACTTCAAAATGGAAATGAAAAAAAAAAGTGTAAAATGCTGAATATGGCACAGTCGTTATGATGCATACAAATGTAACAAATTGAACATAAATAACAGAAATGATGAATAACAATTGAGAAAAGCATAAAAGTAACAAAACTATCATGATAATTAAGTACCTCCTCTTAACTTTGAAATGAATAAATTCAGTAAAGAATTGATTAACTTGCATGACAATACAACAAAAAAAATTAAGAGAGAAATAACTTTTGCTATTTACTGATCTATAAAATAAAGAGTCGAAATCCAGCCTGCATCTTTTAAACAGGTATTTTGTGACAAATAGACCTATAGGGCGGTATTCTCATAAGTCAGGCCGGGACTAAGTCCAGACTAAACAAGAATTTTAGTTCACACTTCTATGGAATGCTAGCTTTCATCTTCCTCCTTCAATATTCATGACAAAGAAAATCTACCAAATTTTTTTTTTTAATTCAGTTCATACTCATATTATCTTTTTGTTCCCATTTTATTGCAAAATTAATTTTTTTGACACTTTTCATTGAAGGATTAAAATAATCTGTACAGGGTAAATGAGTTGGCAACAGGCACTCCATAAAAGTGTGGACTAACTTAGTACACGCTACCAGAATACCACCCATGGAGTCTTAAACAAACAAATATTATAAAGAAAGAAAGAATATAAGGCAACTCAATGGTAAGCTCTTTGGATGAATTAGGACATTGTTCAAACAAAGACTTTTATGATTAACACTTAAAACAACTTTCTGGCATGTATCTACCTTTACAAAAATATTACTATTGCAGCAAACCCTTTACATTACAAATAAGTTTTCTTATGACAATGGCGTATGTACAATGGCAAAGAAACATTGAAAGAATTAACGCTAAAGTAAATGCTATTCCTCTTCATGACAAGCGATTGAATAAATAGTTTTAGGAGTAGGTACCTAGAGGGATTTTTAAAGACTTCAAGAAAAAGAAACGGGTGATAATAAAAGGAACTGAACAACAGGTAAATGAAGTGGAATTTTGTCTTAATTCTCATAAAGCAGATGTAATGAGTATGTTAACAATTTCATACTCTGTATAACTAGTGGAATGATGTACATACATCATATCATTTTCTTCTAATACATACATGAATGAGTATAGCTTAAAACCATGTATTGCAAGCACAAAGAAGGTATTTGGATTATTACATGCACTTTCCTAGAAGTGAGATCATAAAGAAATTGCTCACAAAGAGGGAAAGGCCAACTCTCAAGAAACATCTCGGTTTCTCCTACAAAGAATAAAATAAAATTTAATTCCATGTCTAAAACACTTACAGTTTTTAAGCTGATTACAGATTATAAAGGCCCGAGAATGCAATAACTCTGAACAGAAGTTATGTGAGAATGGGACTTCCTTTTGGACATTTGTACAGCTACAGTCTTGAGAATGTATAGCCACTGGTAACATTATACTGCTAAGAGCCAGAAGAGCATTAGCTCTGTGTTGAGGTAGATGAGAATAACACCCTTCTGGCTCTCAACAGAGTATAATAGGTAAACTTATATATCGCACCTACTTCAGTGAAACCTGTCTATAAAGACCACCCAAAGGACACAAGAAAAGCGGTCTTTATAGGCAGGTGGTCTTTAAGAACAGGTTCCTTTAGTACATGTTTCACTGAGAAACCATTTTTAAGTGAAATAAAAAATGTGGTCTTTGTAGACAGGTGGTCTTTCTATACAGGTGGTCACTAAAGCAGGTTTGACTGTACATGAATATACTCTACTGCGCTTAACACAAGGTATCATATTATTACCTTGGCTGTAGCTGAGCTACCATAATAAGGCGCTAAAGCATTCCACACATTTCTTCCTACTGGGTACCCATTTACTTCACCTGGGTGGAGAGTGGCAAATGGAGATTAATGTCTTGCCAAAGGACATTAGTGTCGCGGCAGGACTCGAACCGCGAACTTTAAGATCCACAATCCGGTGATGTACACTAGACCACGACACCTTTATATTATGCTAAATTAGAATTACAATGCACACATGTCAACATCTTCATGAGTACAATACGCAAGTGTTTGATAAATAAATGTTTCCTGATTGCCCTGTATCAAGACTCCACATAAACCTGACATCTTAAACTGCCTTGATGAGGCAAAACTTTGCATGAAAGTGAATAGTTTAAGGGAAAATTTTGGGAGGGATTAAGAAATAAGAAACCTAGCTACATACAACGATGGCCACTATGCGTACTTCCAGATGCGTCTCAAGAGATGCGAAAATGTGAAGCACTATGCTTATCTCATTTTATTTCGCTGCAGAAGAGATGTTGATTTTAAATGATCCCTTACAATATTTAAACAAAAATCTCTAACAATGATGATGATGATGAAGACAAACATGTAGTGAGGTATTGACATAACGTTGCATAACTACTGAATGGACACATGTAGATCAGTTGGTGGGACTATAGTAGCAATAATGTGCTATTTGCGTTGAGCCAGAATTCTTGCACTTAACATAAATCAAAATACTTACATAGCCTACACATTTTACGTCGTTGCAACAAAATTAAACAAGATAGAAAAATAAAGCATAACATCTATAGCTTTAATGCCATTTTTTGCACGATAAATGAATTTGCACTGTATCTACTCTCTGAGCTTGACTATTTCAAAACCTATCATGAAACAGCTGTTATTACAACAATTTGCAGTTCTAAATGAGATATTTGCAGCTTAGTAATGTAATGCGTACTGAAAATAGTACAAGTTTAGAATAAATTGCAACTGTGTCACTGAAAAAACATTGTATATTGTGCTTATTAAGGCATGGTGCAGAAATGACGATATGAAAATCTGCATCTCATGTGTATTTCTGATATCATACATATCTCAAGAAGAAAAATTAAAGAACATGATAAAGGGTGTAGGACAGAAATATGGACAGAGCAAAGAAAACTGTAAGAAATCAGGAGAGGTACAAGACAAAAAGTGAAAATAAAAAGATGGAGTGCGGGAGTGAAAGAACAAACAATCATGAGAAGGAAAGAAAAATAATAAATATGAAAGAAACAAAAGGGAGAAGGTGGGGAAAGAAGATGGGGGAGGAATTAAAGAAGTGGATGGAACCCCCTCAAAATGGGAGAAAAGTAACAAAGAAAGAATAAAAGAAAACCTTATTCTTAGCTCAAAAAAAGACATGTTGAAATATGTAACTTTCGGTTTCTTTCACATTTCACACTTGATTTAATACTGTTTCTTTCTGGTTCTTGATCACCTGCATAGCAAAACATCCAGCAGTGTACTGAAGCACACAACCTTTCACAAACATACACAAAATTACACAAAATCATCCCATTTTCATAATGATTTGTTTCAATGAAATATGACAATATCACTCAATCGTCACTTTACCACAACCAACAAAGTTTCCTATTCTGGCTTAAAGTAAACTTCTTCCACAAACAGCTACAAGAAAGTCACATGTCATGGAACTGATTCTAGAAAGTCACATGACAAAACTGGAGTCACGTGACAAAAATTTAGAGTCACATGACACATACCTGATACTTAAGTCACATGACATATCACGTTGTAATAGAGCACACATAGCAACACATACTTACAGCTGTTGATTCTAATATACATTGCTTCAAATAAATAAAACTAGACATGTGTAATAGTTAGACTGCCGTGTTTAAGAATGTAAAGTTCATATTCCCGGGACCCGTTTCACAAAGCCTTTTTTCAATGACAAACGACAAAACTCAGTGACCAATCTGCTGATAACTAATCAGAAACAAGGATTTCGGTAGCTTATAATAAAAACTGTCCTTTGTCACTGATGACAAGTTTTGTGAAACACCCCCCTGGTCACAAGGCTATAGCTGTTGCTCCGCGACACTACTGTGCGACCCTCTGGAGGCGACTATATCAGCGACCGTTACTCCCACGCTGCTACGCCTCGTTGACATGCCTGAGATGGTAGTCCAACGATGTGTCTTAGGGTCGTAACGCTCTGCACTGTTCAGACTGCTGCTTCCATCATTACCTCCTATGACGTAGAGCTGGCCGTCCAGAGCTATTGCATCATGGGTACTCCTGTGTAAATAGTTATTGAAGTTTTCATACATTAGCAGTAGTGGAAGTTATTTTACATGACTGCTAAGAAAGCATTAATGCTTGTTAGTAAGCAACCAGAGGACCGACAGCTTTAGGTCCTCTCTGAGAGCCTTGGTAGTGAGGATTAGTGCCTTACCAAAGGGCACTAGCCCATCGACTTGGTTTCGAACCAGGGTCACCTGAATACGAGACCACTGCTCTACCAACTTAGCTATCGCGCCTCATTAAGCATTTATATTTTTTATTTACACGGTCGTCAAATTTATACATGCATACAATATGTGCATCATCTCCACTACCTGGGTAGTATTTGCTGTATATGGTCACCGTGAGGGGATATAGTACAATGGTGTTCAGCACCCTGGGTTACAGACTCACAGTGGCAAATGTACAGAAATATCTTTTCAAATGACAGGATTACCATGTCAGGTCTCGAGTGCATCAGCATGACATCTACTATCGCTACCATTGAACTGACTTAGGGAATAATATAATCATGCACTTGATGTCAAATTTCTCTAATTATTAATTTTAAGATGAAAGGTAGAAAAGAATTGATCATATTTCATAGTGTTTAACAGAGTAGCACATCTTCTTCTATTTTGTAGAATAATACTATAAATTGCCATCGAGCTTGAAGATATGAAGAGAGACTTCAACTGACCTTCTGACGGACATAGAGGGAAGCGGTTCCCACAGGTTTATTTCCGGATTGAAGCTCTCGGCACTGCTGAGGCACATGGCTCCGTCACTACCACCGACGACAAAGAGCTGATTGGCTATGACTGCCACGCCCATACTGACCCGGCGGTTGATCATGTTTGGAATGGAGGTCCAGGCGTTGGTCCGTGGGTCGTACTTCTCAATGCTAGAGAGATGTGTGGAGCCATCGTAGCCACCTACTGCATACAGGCATCCACCTGATCAAAGAAATGTAATGGCCAGCAGTGTGAACTCTATCCATGAGTTAGCAATACGTCATGTATCCTTTAGTATCGTCACTCATTCTATAATATAATGGTATCTGATAGTAGCTAGTGTCAAGATAATAAAGACTTTTAACAGCAGCCCCCCTCCCCCCCCCCCCCCATTAACAAAGTAATTTGATTTCTCCAAGTGTGTTATTTCAAAAGTGCGAAGAGTCCAATTTTTAATCAATCAAATCCATGATTGCAGTCTCTTAATGATTCTCACAGTGGATGCTCAGTAAACATTGGTTGTATCGCCAACATCTGACATTCTACGCAAATACATAATGTATGCTGAAAGTGCAAAATATATGGTAATTGAACATTTGGAGCAAATGTTCAAATTGTTGCAGTCTTACAGTGCCAATACAATGTGGTACACCTACCCAATAAACATACACCATGCAAATCAATGTAGAATGCATTTAGAAATGCATATATGGAAAATTATTATATATATAATAATAATTCAATCCCTCTACCACTCACCTAGGGCAGCAACCTTCACATATCTTCTCCTGGCTGACATAGGTGTTATAGAAGTCCAGGAGTTCGTCAAAGGATCATAACGTTCGGCGCTGTTCAGGCAAGACGCACCATCATACCCTCCTATGGCATAGATGAGACCGTTCAAGACAGCCACGCCTAGAGAGCTGCGTTTGGTTCCTAACGGAGCAAGCTCAAACCATGAATGGGTCTGTGTGTTGAAGCATTCTACGGAGGCTAAATCATGAGATCCATCGTAGCTGAAGAGCAATAACAAATAGAAATAGAAACATTTGAATTTAGGATCTTACTAACATGGATCATTTGACATAAAAGTGAAACCTTCAAAAATAAATTTACAAAGTTGTACCTATCGCATGGAAATGATCCTTGTATATATTTACCTTTACATTGGGTAATTGCAGTTTACATCTGCCACCAAGATGAATTTGGGTGTAATTGTAACTTGAAAACTTCCTAATTCTATGCTTGAGGCTGTAGCTCTTACATCTGACTTCTCAGTAGATATTTGTGTGGTAACTGGCATAATCTTTCAAGGGGGTAGTAGTCTGGGATATTTGCCCATAGGATTATTCTACTAGTTCTTGTAATTTCTAAAAGTTTAGGGAGGTTGACCCATGGGTAATTGTCTTTGGGGAGTGGGAGTGATTATTTGTCCATGGGATTATTCTACTAGTTCTTGTAATTCCAATCGTTCAGGGTAGTTGTTTCATGGTTCATTATCTTCTGGGAAGGGGAGAGAGTATTTTTCTGTAGGGGCATTTCTACTAGTTCTTGTAATTCTAATTGTTCAGTGTAGTTTTCCCCTATGTCATTTGGTCACTGTCTTCAGGGAGGGGAGAGAGTATTTGTTCTTTGGGGTAACTGTCCAGTGGTTAGTTGTCTGGGGGGAGGGTGGGGGAAGGGGAGGGGTCATCGTCCATGGGGGTATATTTCCAGAGGGGTAGTCATCCTAATACTCAAACCAACATACCCTCCTATGGCATAGATTATCTTTCCGATGGCTGCAGCTCCTAGTCTTGCTCGACGGGTGTTCATTGTGGGCATAGGTCTCCAGGAGTTGAGTAGTTGATCGTAGCATTCACATTCATTATGTATCGCAAACAGACTGCCTCCACCTACATGGGTCATAGAAAAGAAAATATTGAGTAAAAATACAGATGCTAACAGTCTGATAAGGAGACAAGTCAATCAAATTTTATGATATCATTCATAATGTATTTAGTATACAGATATTTCTTTATCCATGTTTTTCTCAATATCTAACTAATTCAATTAACTCAATGTATTCATTTTCCTGATGTACCTTCTATATGGATATTTTATTCGCTCACATGTAAAATTAAGACTAGGACTCGGATTACAAATATGAAACATAACATGGATACATTTTGGTGATGACAAGCTAATAGTCATAAACAATATTGATTCTCGTTTGGTTATTGCTTGTTTTGTTTACTTAAGTTATGTAATTTAATTGTCTTCAGGCATATTTATAAATAAAAATTATTTACCACTATACACATAACATAGAAAATTAAGTTTTTTAACTGAATTGAAGTATATGTAAGCATATGAATACTAATAAAGAAATAAAAGAAAACTACCCCAAGACACCAAACAACAAACTTTTACTTTTAATTTTTTTCCTTTTTTGTTTGTTTTCTTCTTCTTCATACTTTAAGTATGATTACTGAATTTTTAAATCAACTATTTTTAATGCAGTTTTATATGATAAATTGTGAGCCAATTATTGTTAGTCTTTGGACTTTTTATTTGGTATATTTGTAATAAAACCGAAATTGAATTGAATTGAATTGAAATTACTGACCTACTGCGAATAGTACTGGTACTTGGGATGAGTTCTGTCTTAATCTTGTTCTAGGAGATTGAAGGGTTGATCTTTGTTCAGGTAATAGATGATATTTCATGGCTTCTATTAAGAGATCTTTACATCCATTACACTGCTGAACAATGGGATGGGCTTCTACTTGGGTGACGAGGAAATCTCGGTTCAGGAGAGGCAGTCGCACGTATCTTAGAAGCTAGAGGGAAAAACAAGAAATTGAAATATTGATATAATACATCATCCTTTCTCTTTCATTAGATAACAAGCAATAGCAGATGACTTTAAGGAAACACATTGAAATGGAAGAATACACTTGAAGAAGGGTTCAATCCAAATATAAGTTGATTCCTGTTGATGTGCAGGGCTGCCGCAACTCATATTTTGTTATTCAAACATCTAAATATATTTCATAGATTTTTAAATATTAAAAAAAATAATTTTCTCAGGTCTGCTATAAAGCTCCATCATAAAAAATGCTCCAGATCTCATTCATCTTGTGACATCATCTGTCAATCATTAGTGAGCTAACAAGAGACAGTGGTATGTAGCTTCACCATTCAAGATTCAAGATTCAAATAAGGTTTCATTCATGACTTGTCAAAAAGTCCACAGACTAAAAATGCAAGTTTACATCAAACATACAATCACATAAAAAGCATTCAAAAACATATATACACATATATAAAGATAACATAGCAAATGAGAACAAATATATAACAATGAATAAATGTTTAAATCAAAACATTAAAGAAGTGACAATAACAACAACAACAAAGAAAAAAAAATTAAAAAAATGAAATATTGCTAGCCAAAAATGAACAAGTAAAATGTTTACAGATACGTGAGTTCAATTAACACCAGAGCTGACCACATGTTTACAATAGACCATACAATACTAACATAGGAGTTGCTATGTCAGACGTGCTGTAGCATCACCAGGAAAAGAGAGCAAATGTGGAGGTATTGTACGAAGGAATGCAATTCTTTTGTGAGCACGTGCTGAGCTTGGGGAAGTCACATACCACTGTCCCTTTTTTTACATTTTCAATATTGTATTCTGTTTATTTTTTTAATTTGCTTGTAAAATGTGAACAATTCAGCCATTGGCTGCTAATCATATTTTGTATTATACCATGAATACATAAACATTCATTCACGAGTATAAAGAAGTGTTCTTACCCGACTGACTGCATCTTTTCTTTCTTCTTCATTGAATTGAAGCCATTGTATAACAGCACTGAACACCTCTTCTTCTGCTGTTACATTCAACTGCTCACTGGAGACCATCTGCTCAACCTGTTACAAATATAACATTATGGAATAAGCATCAGACTTGTGGAATGAACCTGGTTTATGTATCACTCATTTCTCCCTTCCAGTCATCCACCTTCCCCCACTTCCATGATCTAAACAGAACCCCATTATTCCTAGATTCTGACCCCATTATCTTGTGATTCTAAACATTGACCATTAATGACCATCCCAGAGAGTAAACTTCAAGGAACTGCATTTAAGAACTATGACTCTTCATTTAAACACTCCTCCTCCAAAACCCGATACCCAAACACAACATTTATGTCACAAAGCAATGCATTGGCTCCATATACCATTCCAGACATTTAAGTGTTGAAAGATTTTTTAAAGCCTCTCTTGTGTTATATTTTCATGGGAAAACGGTTGGAAAGTTAAAAAATGGTTGGGAGAATTTACTGTTAGAGGGTGACGCCTCCAAAGAAAACCATAAATATCTTTGTGGTTTGAGAATTTGTTCAGAACTGTTTGCATGTTAGAGGGTTAGTACTGTAGAAGGAATATAATAATTAACATTTCATACAACAATTACGCAAGCCAGCTTTTTCACCAACCTTCAACAATGTTACCGAGTCACAATATCACAAAAAATTATCCTACCTCTGTTTCAGGTAACTGAAGGAACTCCTCAGTATTGACCACATGACAGAAGTTATAGAGAGCATACTGTCTTGATGACTGCTCCAAGTCATAGCAACCATGTGTGTCTGCAAACCTTCTGATTCCCAAGCAGTTTGTAGGATCCAGCTGACCCACCAGGAACTTACAGCAAGCATCTCTAACACTCTCCATCTGCAGGAGGCTAGCCGCTGGGAGTAGAGCCTGTCAAGAAAAGTTAGCGAACAAGAGAAAATAAAATAATAATAATAATAATAATAATTGTGGGTTCTTGTATTGCGCTCATGTCTGTCATACATGACACTCCTGGCGCTCCCCATTATTACCCTGGCTTTAGCACGGCTGCCATACATCTTTAGTGACTACCTGTCTACAAAGACCAGATTTTTTGTTTCCCTTGAAAATGGTTTCTCATTGAAATATGTATTGTAGGGGCCATAAAGACCACCTGCCTATAAAGACCACTTTTCTTGTCTCCCTTGAGTGGTCTTTATAGACAGGTTTCACTGTAGTTAGCACTAGATGGAGAGAAAAAAGAAAATAAGTACCAAAGGAGGTAACTTGCAACACATATTTCTCATACTCCTAGCATTGTGGCATTGCGTATGTATGTAATTGGTTATTACAGGCAAGCTTCAACCAGGTGCATGATTATTTACGTCTCAGACTGACATTTAACGTCACCATCAGAAAGACGTGACTCAGTTTCGACCCTGGGTCCAATCAAAATCAGTTTGTGGCCAGGAAAGAGAACAGACTGCGGATATAACAGCTAGACCAACAGCAGGGAGTAGAGCTATTTTATACTTAATTGATCCAAAATACCATGGAACGGTAGTTTGTATCATCGTCATACATTCTGCTTCATTTTGATAAATTCCTTTAATTTTATTTTTGTCTTTATTTCACAAACCATGATTTACGGCACTTACCTGAACATTACTCTCTCCAATCATGATTTCAGCTGTGTATGCGAACGAGACTAGCTGATTAACAGCATCTGAGTCTATCTCATGTAGCGTGACCTCTGACCTGTGTGATTCTGTCATGTCACCTGATACATACAGAAAATGAACAGAGAACATGTATCAATAGATGCTCCACTCAACTAATCATAATGAATGCAATTGCATTAATGTAGTTATTGTCCTTCAATTGAATTTAATTAAATGGAGCATTTACTGTCTCTATTCTGGTAAAGCCTAGGTCACAAATGCCATTATGAACTTCTACGAACGCCGTACGAATGATTTTCAGACAATGGAAATTCGAGAAGACAATGGAAACACAGGGAGATTCGTAAGAAATTATCATTCGTACAAACCTTTATGACCATAGCATAATTTGTTCGATCATCAAAGGAATAGATAATGCAAGACAATCTAAGGCTTAAAAGATCAAACTACATACATATGATATGATGTTCCTCTAATAAGCATACCGCTACTGATTTAATTTTCTCTCTCTTTATCGAGAGGGTTGAAAGACCTCACTTAGAAAGGAATAACATGCATTTTGAAGGCCCTTTGAGGCAAAATATTAAAGGGAAATTCAAGCTTGATAGCAAACTACTCTAGGGGGAAGAAGAAGAATCAGAGATGTAGACTGGTGAAAGAACTAGTTTTCTTTGGTAATGATTATAAATTTATATGAATTTGTTTGAAAAATATAATAACCATGACAAATTGAATTGGATTACTGGGTCAAGGTATTCTTAGTACATTCTGGAGGGCGTTTCACAAAACTTGTCATCATTGACAAATGACAGTTTGTGTTATAAGCTACTGAAATCCTTGCTTCTGACTGGTTATCAACAGATTTGTCACTGATTTTTGTCATTGTCATTGAAAAAAGGCTTTGTGAAACAGGCCCCTGGATGAAATGGGAAGATTCAATAAATTTGCTAACTTTGACCTACTTGTAAACATTGCATGAAAGTAGGCACTGCATGAAGCGAGGACGAGCCTGTGTGCTCTGATCTCATGATCGGTGACCTTGAGGACGATATCACATAGCGCCCCCTGCTGTCTCATCTTGTCCATGGCAAGGAACGAGTCGTTGCTATGGCGCTGGGCATGGTGGATAATGTACACCCCGGAGGCCTGCCCCCCACTGGAGCTTCCAGTGCTAGTAGGGCTGAGACACAGGGAGGGGGCGGAGCCGGAGGAGGGGCTTAGGGGAGAGGGCGAGGTCATTAAACCCAGAGATGAGCTGGGGCGTTGACCCCCACAGGATACCCCGCCCGGGCCCCGTGGGGCGCCGGTGGTGTTGACTTGCAGCGGCCCCAACTCCATCGTGCGATTCCTGTCAACAAAAATCAAGGAGGACATATCAGTTATGAAAATAATCTTTTAAAGTCTTTTTACAATTGAAGTACTCACTGTAAGAATAATAATCAACACATGGTTTAATATATATACAGAACATACTGTACATTGTATTTCGATTACCGGTAGGCATTAGTTGACTGATGTAGTGGAAGGTCAATTTGTCAATTCTTAATCAGCATCTCACATACAATAACATGTTCTAAAACGTCTACTGTTATTATAATTCACCTAAATCTTCTGTATGCTGCCATTTTGAAGTCCAAATCTACTCGTCTTAAATCCAACTCCAATCACTCCATCAATAATCGTGTATACTCAGCTAGAGCTTTCAAATCTTCAGCATCAAGTGTAAGGCATTGTCTCTTTGATCCAAATAAAAGAAAACTCTCCTTCCATACGCAGCACTTTCACAAGATAAGCTTCACTCCAACAATCCAAGAACCATACATAGGTTTAAAATATTATACCAAGCTCAAGGTCCAGGTCCAAAGTGTACAGTAGATCATCATAAATACTTCAGACGATGGGTTTCCTTTCAATTCTGGATAGTGCACTCTACAAATCCACAACAGAGGCCAATTTTAGTTACAAATTATGTCTGTTATGTTAAGTAGGTGAGTATAATTTATTACAAATTTCTCATGTTTGTCATATCATTAGACTTATTTGCTCCTACCAAAGTAGGTCATCTGTAAAAGGTTACAATACAATAGGATAAACGATAGACTTGCAATTCCGTAATCAGTGAATAAAGTTGAAAAGCCAATTCAGTCAATTATCATCACCTTCATAAAAGGCTGCATATTTGGACTAGATTTTAAACACAATGGCAGCTAGTACAATGAACTTTTGCATGCTGTGTTGCTTGGCTCGTCAGAGAATGAGTGAATATAATAAACACTCTTGGTGGGCAGTACTAGAATAAATGTCAACAAACAGGAATGTAACCACTTATCAGATGCTCTAAATACACGATTGGTTACAGATTTTGTTTACAGAACTATCATACACCGGACCAAAAGGTACAGGTATGGATTGCTTGTGTTTTGGGTCAGGTAAATGAGTTAGATTAACATCATACACGATGGCCTTCCAGTGAGACATCCACTCCAATTTGAAACTGACTGGTATAGCCTAATCCAGCTGTCGCATTGAATTGTGATGATCAAATAAAGGGAGAATAAATCAATGTTGGATTAGCTATCCATGACTGCAGCTGACTAAAGTAAGTTCTGGATGACAGCATTCACCAGGGGAAGATATTGATCTGTTGTTCCACTGAGTTTTATCAACAATCTCCTGCCTCGATCAAAAAGCTAATCTAATTTCTCATCAAAATGTTGTTAACAAACACAGCAAGCCTAGATACTACATGACATGTACTGTACATGTACATGAAACAAATAAACAGTTGTCAATGACTGCAGTTTACACCAAAAAAAGTTAGTTCCAGATGACCATGAATAACCTTGGCAAGATATTAACCTGCTGTTCCCACTAAAATTTGATCAAGGATCTTGATCCTGTCTTGATCAGAAATCCAATCAAATACCACATCAGAATGTTGCTAACATGCCGGCACGCTTCCAATCACATACATGTAGGCGTACATGTTCATGTGCATGTCACAATGTGTAGTTATCAATGACTAGACTGCTGTCTGCATGACCAAGGTGCTGGTAACTCCTTGGTCTGACTTAGAAACAAAGTTTTCCAGATGAACAGATGCACAAAATAAAGAAACCTGGATGCCTATATTGATCTGTTGGTCACACTGCACTTTTATTGTATCATCGTAAGGACCTCCTTTCTTGATTCTTCTTCTTCTTCAGAAATCCACTTGTAAACTATGTGTAATATCAGAGCATCGTTAACAAGTGCTGAGCTCCTGTAACTCATAGATACCAGTAGTTCTGCATGAAACAAGTGAACAGTTTATTGCTATGAGTGAAGTCCTCTGCGGAAGTTCTAGAGCAGGCTGCAAGACCATAAAAGTGTCATGTCAGGAAACAAGTTGACCTGGGGGGCACTGAGCTTAAAATCAACAGGCGAATCTTAGGATTTCAAAGTCTTGATCAGAAACCATGAGCACAACATTGTCACTGCATACAGAATAATATCTCAATGTTGTCATAGAACACAAACATTAGACTTCAGAGTGAAGCACTATCAATCACATGTTCAAATACATGAACTTGAGTCCTTCCAAAACACAATAGGAATGAAACCTGTGAACCATTGGCCTCCAATACACCGTGTGTACGTGCACTGTCATCAAAACAAAGTCATGCATGACAGACTGAAAAACAAACATCCTCTTGATTTATGTGCCATAGTAGCTAGGGCATGTCAAGCAGACATGTGATTATTAATAACACACCTCCCTCCTTCATTAACTCTGCCTAACCTAGCTAAACTCAGCTAAAAACAAATGAGTCACATTGAGATCTCTAATCAAGCGTGTCTTATCTTTTGGTATCCTTTCAGAGCCATCAGCAGTGACCTCACAGGACAACTATTAATAGGCCTGTCATCATCAGCTCCAGATTGCCAAATAGCCCGCTATTTCTGATTTAAGAAATAATCCAGAAGTTACAAATCGTGTCTTCATCAGCTAGAGACTCGACCTCGAAACTTAAAAACTTGACCTTGAGATATTAGCTCGAGATATTTTGCTCAGCTTTCGCGTATAGTGCGAGTCCTCGGTCTGGTGAGGACGCAGTGGACAAATAGCTGGATATCTTGCCAAATAGTGGGATATTTTGCAAACTATCCCAAGATATCTTGGGATGACAATCCCGACCAAACATCCCGCTAATTGCAACTTCGGGATGATGAAGATGAAAATTAGCTGGATAATTTGCGATCGGGATATTTGGCAATCTCGAGCTAGTGAGGACAGGCCTAGTGACCTCAGAGGACGACTATGTTTGACCTTAGAAGCTTGAAGAGATCATCCTGGAGATTAGACTATCATCACATCTCATTGAAAGAATTAAGCACTTTGTATACAATATGATATAGAGATATGAGATGTTTGCTTGGGTGGAGTTTCTTAATGAAAATTAGGACAAAATTGAAGGTAGATCTAGGGTCTTAACCTTTCAGGATAGAGATAGAAATGACCTGATTTATCTTTTGTCTATTACCTCAGGAAGCAATATTTATTTATTTATTTACTTATTTATCTTTTTATTTCTGAAATTTAGACAGGGTGACTCATTATCACCAATATCATTTTATTTGTCATTTATTTGCAAATTAAGCATTTCTTTGTTCCCATACTACTTCCCATATGGGGACATCTACATGCACCTACATTTATACGTGTAAACACACAATGCTTTTGAAATTATACAGAAATAGAGCAACATAAAAAAATTACATTCAATCTACCAAACAATGACCATATTTAACCATGTTAACCAAGATTTATTTTCATTCAAAATGTTCCACACATTTTTTGTTTAATTTAAAAAAGAAGAAAAAAAGAAGAGGGATAACAAAAAAAATGTATGAATTCCTATGTACCCCCCCCCCCCCCCTCCTCCTCCAGTCGGGCCAGTCCCTAATACCAAAGGATATATGACAACATGTAGACTACATTTATAGCATTAAAGATAAATACCAGTTCTGGTCTTGCGATTGCATTGTGAAAGAAACGTTGTGGAATCGATCAAAATTATAAGAAATTTGGCCCAGTCTTGATAAAGTTACAGCACTGTACACAGAAAGATGGACTACCCCCACACGTGCGCGACACGTGCGTTATTTCTATCAGGTCCAAATAGATAATAATTTACCAAATATATCAATTAGTAGGCGGTTTCTCACAAAATTTGTATGATCACATATTTATAGTCAAAACATATTCTTTCACCTGATTGGTAATAAGAGCTTCCATTTCATTTTTTGAGGGGGGGGGGGATTTCCAAAACTGGTCTTTAATTACCTTTAACTAATGACACGTACTCCAAGATTACTAGAATGACAGAGATGTGTGGGGAAATGTTGCCATCAACCTCGAAGCTGGGAAAAGATACCTTCCTTGATAGATACATTTGTACATGTAGATAAAGACTACGGTACATTCAAGCTTCCACTAGTAGCAATCTTCATACCATGCATGTCTTGATTGACTACACAAGCCTAGCTAGTGTTGACACTTCTACACAGACTAACTGACTGTCTGTCTGTCATATCTAATAAGGATGAGCCGTGCATGCATGCATGCATGCTAGGAATCAGTCCGGAATGATAATAACTAGACCAGGGTGCTAGCTAGCGTGGCGTATTTATCCTTACATTATCGAGGTTAACAACATACTGTACATGTGCAAAGGGAACGTACATGTAGACAAGGTTACAATTAATGTTCAAGAAAGAAACATAGAATCATTGCCAACATGATGGATTGTTAATCACCAGTCTCAATGTTATCATCGTTATCATTATCATCATTATTAATAACATCATCTTCGTCAACATCACTAAAATGATAACCACCACCATCTTTACCATCATAATCATCATCATAGAAAATCATCACCACCACCAACATCATTACCACCACTATCAACATCAATCCCATCAAATTTCAATTCTATCATAATGTTAACTGTGCTATCTAATTTGTATCCCTCTCCATCCTCCAACACAGGATTCACTGTCACCCACCTTTACAACCGGTGTATTAAAACATCTTCACATAGAAAGTCTTCATCATCATATATTTTTCTTTTAATATCTTATATTTCCATCTCAATATATGTACATAATGCACGTTTGTGTACATGTATGTATACATGCAAAAGTTGCCACAGGGTAGATTTATTAAACAGAACATCAACAAATAAATAAAAATAAAAGATGAAATGTGCTCACCTTCTTCTTTTCATGGACGTGCTGCCGCAGTGGAGAGCTCTATGATAGCATCAACCTCATCTCATCACAACAGGCAGATGGTCCTGAACTTAGCGCCAAAATCCCACCAAACCAAAGACCTAAACACAGGAAAACACAACACAAAGGAACAATTATAACAGACCACAAAGCAGAATAGCAGCGCACACAGTGCATGAATGGAACATAACATATGAGGGCGATTTTCCGTCAATCATAACTTAATGAGGTCGCTCAGATGTTCCCTTGTTATTGTCGCGAGGGGACAAAAGCATGGTTCGTAGGAGAGCGGAGGAGCCAGGCCGAACCAATATCACTTGCAATACTCAGCAGGCCATTCACATGCAAATCAAAGGCACGTGCTCTGTGAACTGTGTGTACTTACTTTGTGGGAGGTTGCAGAGATATTTTG